GGAGGGTGGAAGAGGAAGAGGAAGAGGAGTTGAGCAAAATTGATTGGGCTTTTGGGAGGTGGGAGGAGGAGGTGGAGGTGGTGGGGGGTCGTGTGCGAGCGATGTGGGTTTTTGTTGTTGTGTGGTCTGGGATCGATTGTGGGGGTGATAGTGTGGGCGTGTGGGCTTGTGGGGCGTTACAAACACGCGTTTTGAAGAACAAAAAGACAAAAGAGTGAAACAAAACAAAAAAGAGGAAAAACAAAGCGGTGATTAATTCCATAACGGGTTGCTGTTTTTTTTGCTTACTTTTTTTTTTTTTTTTTTTTTTTTTGACTTCTGGCGAGGCGATGAGGTGAATTGGTGGCTTGGCTTGTACCAGGTCCAAAGCCAATGGCAGTTTGGTAGAGGGCATCAACCAAGTACCGAGTGTCGGGCAGGCAAGGATCGTTTACCTCTCGCCCTCCCTACAGCCCTTTGAGAGCGTAAAATGGAGCTGTGCAATTCCCGGTCTGTGAGTGGGCACAACGACAAGATCCAGAGAAGGTGTTGTGACATTGTATGACGTATCCTTGGTCCTCGGGTTGTTAAAGCCAAACTATACAAGACGGTAACGTTTGGATCAACAAACAAACAAAACAAACAACAACACCAGCACTGTGGACACCTGAAAGAAAGAACAAGGGGACAACGAGGACAGCACTTTGTTGGCTTGATGGAAAAAAACGCCACGCTTGACAGATGAGGGGAGTGCTCGATTTGTGTGGGTGCGGTTGGCGCGCCATTCGTGACCAGCATCTTTTCAAGTCGTTTGTCCGTGTCTGGTGCATGCTCCTGGCATGCGCAGATGATGCATCGAGGGATCGAACTTGGGTTCGATTCACGTTGGCGAGCCAAGCCGAGTCGCAACTCGTGCGAGCGTTGCATCCAGTCGGGGATAATTGTCGGAAAATCATAAAATTAACCAGAATTGACCCCCTGCACGCCCAAACATTCCTCCCAATGCGAATGTTTAGACCCCTTTTTTTTCTTTCAGCTTGTAGCTTGCAAACGTCCACTTTGCATCAGGAAGATGATCGGAGTGTAGTTCCTCGGTACTCGCATCCTCTGCCTGAAACTGACGCCATCGTTCGTTCGGAAACTCAAGTTTGTCATGCAATCAGCAAGTTTTGTGGCACAAGACAGAGCCCGGTTCTTTTCTTTCGATTCCCATCCATCCATGAGGGGTGCAGCGCCATCATGGGATCGACGTATGCCCTGAGCCTGCAGCGTGGCTGGGGTTGCTACTGGGCTGCCCTTGTCGCACAGGTCCCCACCGGCCCACCGATGCAGCCGTTGGTGACCTGCTCAACGCCTATGGACAGCGAGCGCTCTCTGCTCACGCCCATTCCAAGTTTGAATGGGGTGGGTGGGACATTCAAGCACCAACGCAGATGTGAGGATTTTTCCATGAATCGTGTCACGATAAAGGCGTTGGTGGGTTCGATGGACGAAATTTGGTACTCAGATGGTGGGGTTCACGTGTTCTCACGGGGCCGCTCGAGGACCGAGATGTGACACGTCACCTGCGCTTCCAAAGGATAATGTCATGCAGACGCAATGATTCGTCTCATCATGATGCAAGCAATGGACCCACACGATAGACCTTGGTATGTTGGGTACTGGAGGCAGGTCGCGTGGCCCCCACGCAAGCTACTCATGGAGCCGATGGAGGGTTACGAACTGGCGCGCCGTTGTCCTTGTCTACCCAGCTGTCGGGTCTCGCCAGATCCCACGTGGATTGTGATTTTCCCCAGAAGAACCTGACTCTTGCAACCTCTGCCACCCCCAGGCGAGGGAAAGGCGAGACCTGGGGGCAGGTTCCTACACAGGTGATGGTTGTGTGTGTGTCAGGCACAGATGTGGTGGTGGGCTGGAGAGATGAAGGCAGCAAAATCGGCAATGCGAACACAAACGACAAAGCCTGCAAAAAATTGCAAAAACAACAACAACAACGAAAACGCTGCATGAATGACGTCATGGATGCAATGACCTAGATTGTCCTCCGAGGTGTGTACGCTTGACCCTACAATGTCCCTACGATAGTGTAGACCAGCCACGAAGCGTCACCGCACGCAGAATCTTTTGCTTCGTGAGTTCTGCCGTAGCTGATGGGTTTGTGGGCAGGTTCTGCCCAACCAAGTGGGTGGTTGGGCTTTACTCATGTGTCACCCATAAAGCTGCGCACTGCGATTCACAACGACCCCCATCATATTCGGCGAATTCAATCGAAGAGTTTGCAAGAATTTACCCATCCTTTGCGAATTGCACCAACCCATGGTACACAAAGGAAGAAATAAGGTACGTGATGGTGCAACAAAAAAGAAAAACAATTCATGTAACAGGGGTGCTAAAAGTACCCAAGCCATCAGCGCTCAGCACAAAAATCGAACGGGTAAATTGAAATGCTTGTATCAACATGCAGGAATGGTGCAAGGAAGGTCGGTGGGGCAAGGAATTGTCGATTTGTCGGCAGCCGTTGGTCAGTCACGTTGTCGACCCTACAGACATGCCAGCGGTAAATATCGTGTTGACAAGGACTGGGTTGGATGCATCAGGTTGTGGGCGCCGGCGTCTGCAGGCGTCGCCATTCGAGCTGCTTGGACGGCGGCAGGCAGCCCTCCATCAACTGCAAAGCCCGTGCATCCCGCTCCAATGCCTCTTGTAAGGCTGAAAAGAGGGTGGCCAACGGGGGCGTGGGCGTGGCTCGCCGATAGGCCGTCAAATGCTCCTGTGTCCGTCGGACAGCCTCCTCCCCACAGAGTCGCCCAATCTATACAGTCAGGAGGAGCAGAATCAACGTCCCGTGCCATCCGCTGGGTTCCATAAATGGGGCGGGGGCGCATGGCTGACCTCGTCAAAGACGGCACGCAGCTTGGCCCGCTTGGCGGCTCGTGCATCCTCGGCCTCGGGCTCCACCAGTCGCTTCACCACCTCGGGAGCTTCACCTCCGTCAAGTCGCGTAATGGCCGAATCCCAGTACACCTGTCGTGTCGGGACGTGGCAGCATGAGTCACAACCAAACGTGGCAAAACAGCCTGCTGGTCAGCCCATCGTTGGACGGTAGTGAGCACCTACTTTGCTAAGCCCTTCAAACTGTTCACCAATCAGGCTGAGCACGTTGGAGTCACCATCCGTGGCATCGTACAGCTGCACGGCCAGCTCCACCAGTACCTTGCGCGAGGGCTGGGCCCGCACCAGGCGCAAGCGCTTCAGGTATTGCTTGGCTTGCATCAGCTTCTCGGGCGTGCACACACGCTTCAGCTACACCCACAATCACGTGAGACAGGCGAGTTCAAACCAACCACGGCCCCGGCTCTACCCAAGCCTCACCTCCTTCAGCACTGCAAACGCGGCCTCCTTGCGTTGCTCGGTGGCGGCTGCAACCGCTGAAGCATCCGCTCCACCAGACAAATGGTCCTCCCTACTGGGCTCTGGACCTGGTTTTTGATACAGCGAGCGGCCTGCCGCATGCAGCTGTTGCGATACACTGGCCCGTGCGGTCGACTGAGGTGCGGCCATCACAGGAACGGACAGCAGTTCCGGACCCCCCGAGTTTGAACTGGGCTGACGCGCTGCCTGCGGCTGCAACAGTGACGGGTCGACTAGTTTTGGTCGAGTCGGTGTCTCAGTGGCCTGCAGTGCAGGGTGCTGCCGATCGGAAAAGTCATAGGCAATTTGCAGAGCTGGCGCTGCGGTTGTAGCCCCGGTACCATCGACACCCCCCCGCGACGATCCCGTTGATCGGGCCGCGCGCCGCCCAGCTGCGGCAAAGGTACCCTCTCCCAGCAATGCGTGGCTTGGTGGAGCACTGGCTTTGAGAGCTGCTTCCCGGAGAGCGTCCTGCTCGGCTGACAGCAGCTCGGGGTCGGCCTTGGCTCGCCGAAAAAACAGTGTAAGACTTCGCTGAGCCTCGCCAAATTTAGTAAAGACCTGCCAACGCAGGCCAGTGAAAGCACACATGCCCGCACAACGACTGACTTGCACACATTTGGCAAAGACCGGCCCTGGTTCAACCTTACCTCGACATGCTTTTGCAGCCACTTGGGCAAACAGGCTCGCTGCCGCTCATCAGCAAACCTATAGTGAGATTGGCGTGCCCGCAAAGCACACACCACAGTTAGATCGGCGCCCAGTATGCACTCGCGTCAACAAGTCCCGCCAACGCCGCGCCAGATACCCTCCTCACCGACTGTCAGCTAGGATGATGGCACCATAGTCTTGCCGGTGGCGAATCACGCGACCAATGGCCTGGTTCACCGCCCGCGTCGCTTGCATTTGATACCAGTCCTGTCCACTCAACGTGGTGGCTCGCCGACGGCAAGCATCGTCCATGTACTGCCGCTTCAAGACTACCCGTGGCTCCTTGACCGCCGGGTAGGGCAATCCCGTGATGATGACCGCACGACCATTGGAGTTGGCAAAGTCCAGACCCTCGCTGACCTACATGCGGCGGAATATGCCAGCATTGGCATGCAAGATCATTCACGGATGCGCGTGAACAGTGGGTGAACTAGCGCAGCCTTCAGATCGAGCCAAACGTCCAAAGCTCCCACCTTGCCACGGCACACGGCCAGAAAGATTGCACCGCTCAAGGCCGGGTCTTGAATCTTGTCGTAAAATGCATGCATGGCGGCAACAAACTCATGCTTTTCTCGCGGTTCCACTATGACAGTCTATGCGGAAGGAGGCGCGTTTCATGAGCCTCAAGTGTCTATGGATACCATTTCACTGTTTGACAAAAGTTGGTTGGGAAATGTCCGCCGAGGCGAAAAGACAACTCAGCATCATGGCCCCCGTACCTTGTACTGGCTTAAGCGGTCCCAAATGCAAGCACCCGTCGAAGAGGGCTGCTGCCACGCCTAGGAAGACAATGTGTTCACATTAAAACAAAACAAAACAGAGGCAGTGACGTGGACAGTGACAGTAACAGCACAGCATCATCCACATGAAAACATGTCGGCAACCACACGGACGGCGCCTAGAAATCCCCTGACCGACCTCAACGCAGGAAGCCATGACTCCGTAGGAGGGAAAGAACACGAGCAAACCCGCGGGCACGATTCGCGAAAAGTTGACTGCCCAAGTGCAAATAAGCTTATGAGTGTGGTTTTCTTCACTCTTGATCTCATTCGGGCTGCGGCGCTGGCTGCAGGAACACGCACGCACCCAGCGAATTCCCCAGTTCGTTCTTGTAGGCCGGCAAATTGCGGTTTTCGTAATTCGATATGAGGCGTGCGTTGCTGGGGCCTACTGGTAAGACCCCCGCCCATACTTGCTTGCCCGTGATAATGTGGGGGTTCTCCAACATGACTGGAAAGTCCGTCTAGAGGATAAGGTGGTGCAGCGGCCACGAATGACTTTGGGAGTGCAAGATAGGAGGAGCACACAAAGGCAGACAATTGCAATGGCACCACCTACCATGAGTTCTGCCTTGAAGCTGTTGAGGGGCGCGAGGGTTCCACTGGTTAGGATCAGAGTCTTGATGCCCTCAGCCATGAGGCTTTTCATAGCAAACGCCGGGCTGAAGCACCAGAGGCTCAAAGTCCGAACAGTACGTTTGTCCAGCTTTTGCATAGAGTTGCTCCAATCCTGTTTCGATTCCCGGTCGTGCAAGGCGACAGCAGGCGGATGAGCAAAAAAAAAAAAAAATGAGCAGACACCCCAGTCACGCGCGACGTAAGTTTGCCTGGCAAATAAACTACAGGTTCAACGTACTGAAGTTTTCTTTTGAGACGAACGATTGGCCTTCTCTTCCACATGAACGTAATAAAACTTTTCAAGCACGCGCGGATCAGTCTTTGCGGCATCACTAAAGGCCACCTAGACACCAAAGCCAATAAGACATGCACGCGAGTGAACAAAGCTTGGGTTGATGGTGACAGCGACCCGAGCACCTGCGCGGAAACCTAAGGGACGATACCTTGAGAACATCTTGAAACTTGGACAGATAGCAGCGACCTGTGGCGTTAGCCTGCAGGCGACCAGTGCACGAGGCCAACACGCAAAATACGAGGTCAAGAGGTGTGCAGGGTCGGCCTTAGCATCGGCTCGTGACCGTTTCTTGTCTCATACACTCCATCCCAACACGCCAACAAGAAGAGGGAAGGAGGCAGTCCGACCTGTTGCTGCAACAGCGTCATAACACACTGCTCGAGCAGTTCGCTTAAATCATGGTGAGTGGTGGAGGAGATGCCGGCTTCCGCAAAGAACTGGTACATGTAGTCACCTTTGGCTTTGAAACCACCTACGACGCACCATCACGGCGTTAGGAATGGTTTTGAGGCTTGGGTATGCGACGAGGTTTGTTGGAGAAGGGAGACGGGGTGGCAGGGTTTGGTCAGACCGTTTTTAAGTTCTATGCGGTCGAGGGCAGCCTCAAGGTCCAGCACGGCTTTTTTTAGGAGCAGCAGGCGGTCCTCGGATAGTTCAGGACGGTCTGCATCTGCTACTCGCAGCAGCTGTTTGATGCAGCCATCGTCATGAGTGGATTGGCGAGCATGCAATGGGACCAGCCGGCTACAGTGGTGGATAAAGTAGCGGGGAGGGCGGTGGACGCTTCTCAACCTGGTCAATCTCCGTGAGAAAGCCGGCCAAGTCGGCAGACGTTAGATCAAATGAAGCAGCTTCTTCGCAAGACGACTCGATGTTGTGGGCTTCGTCGAAGATGACCTAGCGACGGTCGAGGTTGGAGAGGGTCAGGGCGTGAGGTAGCCGGCAGCCAAATATGCGCTCGCGCATGGCGTTCTGGGTCCCCCGCTGGAAAAAGGACAACAAACCACGGCACCATTCAGATCGATGCCCTGCGAGGCTCGAGTTTGCTTGTCAATCAAATAGTTGTAGGGAAGCAGAATGACATCGGCGCCAGATTGCATGCTAAAAGGCGGAGGTGGGGCGAGCCGTGGTTCATTGGGTGAGCAAAATAGGAGGATGCAACACTGGTGTGGAGTGGGGTGTAACTTGGCCTGCCAACAGGCAAGGCGAACCTGCGGCTCAGAAAGTAGGGGCAGGCATGGCGCCGCTCGCCGAGCTGGACCAAATCCTGAACGGGTGGTGATGTACGACAACCGCAGCCCGTGAGTTGCGTTTCTGCATCCCAGTGCAGCAGCGTGTTACAGGTCGAATATGGCAGTTGGTACCTCAAGGTCAAGGGCCGGATGGGGGTTGGTGGCCAGGTCGGCGTCCACGTCGCGAAACACGGGGTCTACGTTTTGATAAAAGCTGCAGTCACTGTTGGAGCGGAAAGGATTGTGGAGAACAGGCACGCGTTTTGGTGAGCAACGGCCTGATGGGACAGACGGGACGGATGGCGTGTGAACGTACTGGGCGTTGACGCGAATCTTGCAGACACGAGTTTTGGCAGCATTGCTGCTGATGGTTTTTACCTCAGGGTGCACGCATAGCTGATCGCGAGAACCCAGCACTGCAGAGCGGGCGCGATAGTCGGTATTCTTCAGCTCCTTGACTGTTTGCGAGAGCTGGGAGTGCGTGCGCGAGGCGTAAATAATGGGGGGCAGGCGTGGCCCCTGCTGATCGGCCCCCCAGCCTGGTGCATCGGTCGATAATGTCGTCGTGGGCTGTGTGCGTGCAGGGTCAAGTCCGGCATGAGGCTGGGCATGAAACAGCAAAAGCACAACTTTTTCGCCCAAAAGAGGGCAATCAACTCAAGTTCGTTGGCGGCGCACCTGTGTTGCACCAGCAGCTCGGCGCGCAGCTCGTCGGGCTTGTTCACTGTTATGTCAGGCATTGGTGAGGTATGCCGTGCTTCGCAGAACAAGCATGAAGAGACCCGGGACCACGTACTGTTTTCGCCAGCCCAGGGCAGCACAGAGGAGGCAGAGGGTCTTTCCCGTGCCAGTAGGGCTCTCAAGCATCGCATTTTTGCCAGTCTTGAGCGCCACAAGGACGCGGTCCATGTAATCGCGTTGACATTCGTACGGCTCAAAGGGGAAGGACACCTCAATGCCCTGCAGCTTCAGCACAGGCATGGCGGCGACTTGACCCCAACTGGTTGTTCACGAGTCTACCAATGCCATGCCCTTGATGCCTGATGCCTTTCTCACGTACACACGACCGTTTTCCCCTATATTCAATACCCAAGCATCACCACCATCGACAGAGAAAGGGAAAGAAGTACCCACAGCCGGTGAGACAAGTGCACCACAGGCACCAGAGAGCGCAAGACAGAAACGCGCGGGAGAGAGAGAGAAGAGAGAGCGCGCGCGCGCGTGTGTGTGTGTGTGTGTGTGTGTGTGTGTGTGTGTGTGACAACGGTCATATGTCAGACAAGTGTTGATTTGTCTGACAAATCCTCTCGTATGTGAGTGGAAGATGGGCTGATGTGGTTCGAAATTGCAAAACTGGATGGATGCACATGTTTTGGGCAGGACTGGTCCGGCTGGCGCTTCAATTTTGATCAGCTGGCTCGACGTGGAGCGGTTCATATGACTCGACGCTGACGTGTTTGTGCGGCTAGCTGTCGATTTCCTTTGTTCACCATCTAGGACGACCAGTTGATCTGGGTAACTCACCTTCTTCGGATCAGTTTGAGCACAGTTGGACAATGGCGGTGGCGAGGCGGTCAGCCTTGCACCTGAGGACTAAACCGGGCCTCTTCTTCCCATTCTATCATCGTCGCTTTCTCCTCCTTGTCCTCGTCCTTGCCAATTTGTTGATTATGAAGACAGGCGGTGTCGGATCGTCTTTCGAGAGTGGGGATGATGAGGTCAACTTGCTCGTCGACTCGGCAGGGAACCTGGTGCTCTCTGCTGGTTCGGATATCGAACTACACGGTAGAGGATAGCACGCCACTCTTCCGTCTTGTGCGCTTGTTGAATTTGGCATGCCTGATGCTCATGCACCCCCGTGCCCTGTCCACCCGCACATTCCCATGCAGATGCACATATTGGCGCTAGACTTGTCAAGCTCGATGCACATATGCCTCCACCCAATCGCGTCACGAGTGACGCAGAGGAGCGCCTTGAGCTTACGGCCCCCATTGCCGTCGCCGGTGTGGATCTGGAGGCACTGCAGTCCCCTCAGTCCCGTGCAGGTGACCCACAACAACTCAATGACACTCTGGCAGCCCTTCGACAAGCCTTGGGGAACGTCTTGCCATGGGCAGTTGGCCCCAAGGTTCTTGTGCTTGGGGGTATTGCGTCTGATTATTCCCAGGCCGTTGATGTTCTTGACAGCGCGGGTACGGGCTGGAGGCGCGGGCTTGATTTGCCTGCAAACTTGAGCGTTTACGACCAAACGTCGACCATCTTGCACCAAGAACTGTATGTAGTGGGTATAGCAAGTTCCTCTGGGGATTCGCGCATGCTGGCATTTACCGGCCGTGCGTGGGAGGAGCGACCTCGTGCCCCGCACAAGAGCGGAGGCTGTCTAACCGCTTTTCGCGGGCGCCTCTTTTACTTGGGAGGTGCTGACCTAAGCGCGTTCTTTTTCAACGGAACTCATTGGAATGTTGCGCCATCGCCGTCGTTGGTGCATCGACACGCGTGTGCCGTTGTGTTTCAAGATCGCTTGTATCTGCTGGGCGGCGAAGATGCCACATCGCGTACCAACGCCGTGGAGGTGCTTGATGATCAAGGGTGGGAAATCGCCCCACCTATGCTGACCCCACGATCGGCTTTTGCCGCAGTCGTGTATCGCAGCCGCCTTTACGTCGTTGGTGGTTATGGCCCTCCCTCAGTCCGTCTCGCGTTGGTCGAGTATTTTGACGGGCGATCGTGGACTGCTACGACCCCCTTGACGGTTGGTCGCTCCAACCTGGCCGTGGCTGTTTGGGCAGACACCTTGATTGCCACCGGAGGCTTCAACAATGGCCCTTTACGTTCTGTTGAAGTCTTCAACGGGACACATTGGCGTGAAGGTCCTCCCCTACCCATGGAGCGTTACTCGCACTCTGCCGTTGTCTTTGGCGTTTAAACTTATCGGCTTTTTCTTCTTTCTTTCAGAGTTTGTTTGGTTCTTTTGTGGCGCGGGGATGTGTCGTATCTAAAAAACGTGCTCAAGAGGGGCTATGGGCTGGTCGAACAACACCCATCTTCCTGTTGGAGGGCGCCAGAATTCAGTTGAAATGTGAAACGCGAGCCCACCCACACACACACACACACACACACACACACACACACACACACACACACACACACACACACACACACAACACACACACACACACACACTTGTCAGACAATACAACATGTGCCTTTTTTTTTTTTTTTTTTCTCTCTTCTGCTCAAAGTTTTCAGAAGCAAGCACAGCTGGTCTGGCTGGCCAAGGTCGGCAGGCAGCGAGGCTGTGCGAGATCAAGGGGCTTTGAGGTGGCAGGTTGGGCACTGGGGAGAGCGATCCGACGCCATAACTAGGTTGGATTGTGGGTTGTGACGGGCGATATTACCGTTATCTCTTGTTCGCCTTGGCTGCCTCTCAACAGGGCGCCAACTCCTGCAAACTCGGGCGCAGTCTTGGGATTGAGTTACGCGCGCCACAACGGGCGCACAAACAGTACAGAGTGGCTGCCTTTCCTCTTCGCGCTCGGCCAAAGTCGGACCAGAGCCGCAGCCGAATGCCCGAGATGGAGATGGAACTGCACAAGTCCTGGCCCGAGGCCGATGAGCTGCTGCTTGACGACTTGAGTCTGGACATGTCGCAAACCTCCCTCCTGCCCGGCACCCAGGCTGCTGATTCAGATGACGAGGGCAATCCTTTTGGTGGTGAATCCAGAGGCTCTGCGAATAACGAGGATTGGCATCCGCACCTGCAGAGCAAAACCGCCTGCAACCTCATTCTCCTGAACACCGCTTGGGTGGGGTTGGCCTCCACCCTGATAGCTTGGGGCATTGTTCTCCTGCCCTCCCAGGTCCGTAGCACTGTCGGCAACGACTCGGCCGGTATCGGTCTGGCTACTGTCGTCTTGGTGGGCAGCATCATTACCGTCATCACGACACCCTACATTGGGCTCCTCTCGGATCGCTGCACCTCGCGCTATGGTCGTCGTCGCCCCTTTATGCTGCTTGGCCTTGTTTGGCTATGCCTGGCACACCTGGTGCTTGGTCTTGCCAATCCTCACAAACCACCGGACAAGAACACAGACAGTAGCTGCCCAAACAACGGCAGCCTTCCCAGCCCAACTCTTGCCACGGGCGCTACAGAAGGTCCCTTTCCCACTACAACCCCCGCCTCGGACTGGCTCAATTTGACCACGGCTGCTGTCACGGACAACTTTGAGACCCACGGCCATTTGGGGATCCTGATTGTCGTCTATTCTTTTGCTACTGTGGGATACCAGGTTACCGGAACACCATACAATGGTCTGCTGGCTGACCGCACCCCCGAGTCGATGCGGGGCCTGGCCAGCGGCCTCAACGGTCTGGCCACCGTGCTCGGCAACCTCTTGGGTGCCAGCATGGGCTTTCTCTACCCCCACCTCTCTGTCATGAGCGTCTACCTCGTCCTCGCTGTCATTCTACTGCTAACTGTTGTACCCGTTCTCTTCTCTCAGGTCCGACACTTGTGCATTGCTCTCATGATCTCCCTCGAGTGTTGGAAACGAGCCAGCGTTGACCACTTGCAAGCCCACTGCTGCCGATGTGCTCATCCCTTGTTCGCCTTGCCATTCCCCTCCTTCCTTCATTTTGTTTCCGGCTTTTGCAACGACGCAGCGCGAGGAGCAGTATCGTCCGACCGTTCCGCCCAAGGTACTTTGCTTTTTGACCCCCGGGTCCGCCTGCTTGTTGTACATGGCCCTGTATTCACTTGCCTGTCTCATCGTGTTTGCGTTGACGCAGCCGCTGTCGGTCAAGTTGGTTGTTCTGGAGTATCTCCAACCCTTGCGCCGGCATGACTTTCGCTGGGTTTTTCTGACTCGTTTTCTGATGCAACAAGGTACTTGACACGGCAAAACCACCCTCGCTGTTGTTGGCCGTGCGTTGCCTTGCCTTCCTTGCCCCCTGTTCCTGATCTTGTTTGATGATGTGTGCATAGGTATGGCTACGGTCATGTTTTTCTTGGAGTATTATTTCCATGACGAGATCCCATTGCCCGAGGGCATGCGTGCCGAATCGGCCGTGGCTTATGCCCTGGTGCCCCTCTTTGTCTCTGCCGCTCTCTCTTCCGTCGCCGCGGGCAAGGTGAGCCTTTGGCGAGCTACAGGCAGCAACGGATGAAGTGTCATTGAGCTGGCCAGACGGATGCCTACTTTGTATTTTTTTGTTTGCATTTTCCTCTGTTATGGGTCTTGCTGTTGTTGACACCCGGGGTCTTCTTACTTGCGGTCATTCTTGATCTTGGGTGCGGTGGCCAGCTGAGCGATTGGGCAAATGGGCGTCGGCGCGTGTTTGTTGTGGGATCAGCAGTCATCATGGCCGGCACAGCCATGGCCATGGCGTTGTCTGAGGTTTGTTTGCTTGAAAGCCAAGCCGCCTCGTTGAAGCCGTTCTCGCCTGCTGGTTCTAGGGCAAGCAGGAAGTCCTAATGGCCACTTCTGCCTTTTCTTTTTTCTTTTTTTTCTTTTTTTCCCCTTATTTTGCTACACCTCACACTATTGTGTGGTGAATGACGTTTGGGATTGGACGCGCTGACGTGTGTGCGTGTAGAGCTTCCATGTGATATTGGGTATTTCGGCTGTGTTTGGGATGGGGTATGGCTGCTTTGTGGCCGTCGACCTGGCCATGGCACTTGATGTGCTGACCAACAAGGCGGACCGGGCCAAGGACCTGGCCGTGTGGCACCAGGCGATGGTTTTACCTCAGCTGATTGCCACCCCCATTGGTATGTTGATGTATTTTCAAGTGTGCATGTGCATGCATATGTACGGGGACTGGTCGTTGCTGTGGTATGCTTTGGAAACAGTGCACCGCGCGCGGCAACTCACGGGCACCTGGAACCACGCGTCCTGGGGTGGACTGCTCTTGCAGGCGGGGCAATTCGCGATGGAGTCGCCCGGATTGCATGTGGAGGCACGGGTCCCAAGGACGACTGCGACCAGGGGGGTTGTGCCGTGGCATACACGACCTTGTTTGCAGTAACAGCGGTATATTTCCTGTTGTCGGCCGCCTTTGTTTTTCGTATTCGGGGAGTTCGGTAATCCAGCGCGTGTTGAGTTTGTTGTCACATTTCGATGAATCCAGTGCGAAATCTGGGTGATCTAGCTGCCATTCGCACGTGAGAGCCCAGCCATAACAACAATGCAGCACCCCATTCACCTCTATCCGTCCATGGTCCCAAGTCGCAAAACCTCCTGTGTGTGTGTGTGTGTTTGCATTTTGTCTGACATACACTGCTTTCATAACCCTCATGTGCAGGCGTTACCACATTACATTCCACCACACACACACACACACACAAGAAGCAGCAGCTGGTCTCACACACACATAAGCGCAAGACTGCATAATCAACTACAACCAAAGCTGGTTTCTTTTGTGTTTCTCACTTTGACTCTCTCTCTCTCTCTCTCTCTCTCTCTCTCTCTCTCTCTCTCTCTCTCTCTCTCTCTCTCTCTCTCTCTCTCTCTCTTTCTCGCGCGGGGGTTGTGTGCACTTGTTTGCGGGACTGAGCTGGGACTTGGTGCAAGGGTGAGCTTGTTCTGGACGCTGGGGGTCTTGTCAAGTGGTGCTCGTCGTTGGAGGTATGTATGCTGATGTGTAGATGTGTATTTTACAATTTGTTCAAGACGCGTTGACGCTCCACACCTGGCACACGGATCGTTGCTTCCCCTCCTTCCGGCTTTCGGACTGATTACACGGCTCGAACGGATTGCACGACCAGCCTCCCCGACACGCCGCACGCACGCACACGCACTTGTACAGCCGCGCATACACACTTTTGGCACGCACCAGCCAGGCTCCATTTAATATAGCTCCCGTATCACCATGCCTAATCCGTTATCTTTGCTCAACGTAGCTGCCAGTGCCTGGTGCCCGCGAGCCTCGATTCGTGGTCGTGTTGCAGTCACTGCATCCGCTTCTCACACGCCCCTTACGTCACCCACCGCGGCTGTCCAGAACGACAGCATGGATCCACTGGCGCCTTTGCCCGACTTGGACTTTTCACTGCCCGAACCCGGCACACGCCGTGGCAGCAATGGCAACGGCAACACTTCCAATGCCACCTCGGCTTCGCTAACCTTGCCCCTTCCTGACTTACCGTCACTGCCCGATCCTGTTCCGGCAGCTGGTAGTGGCTCGAACGGCGCGCCTCTACCGGCACGAGCTCCTCGCCAACGACGCAACGAATCCGGTCAAGGTCGTGGCCACCGCCAGACCCACGTGCATATGGACCCGGATGAACCTAGTCGCCGAGCCAATAGCGGCCGTGGTCGTGGCACCCAGGGCCAGTCTCGTGATGGTGGGCGTGGACGTGGTGGCCGACGGACGCATGACGCGTCCCAAAACCAAGCCACTGAGCCTCAGCAAATTGAGCGTACCCGTGACGGCCAAGTCAAGGTCTCGCTCACCACGCAAGTTCGTAAGGCACTGGAGAGTGTTGAAGATGTCCCCGAAGGCACGGAGACGTGCGAGATTTGTTTTGAGCCCGTCGAAGTCCTGGCTGTCGGTGTTTGCAATCACAAGCTTTGCCATCGTTGTTCTCTGCGCCTCCGAGTTCTCGTCAAGAATGATGACTGCCCCGTCTGCCGTACTCCACTTCCCGAGGTCAGCCAAAATGCAACCGATTCACCAAAGATGACGGATTGGCCGGGTCAATCCGCGGTGGAAACACAACTCGCATGCGCATGTTCCAACCACTCGATATTTGTTCTTCAGCCTTTCTCGTTTGAGGCCCTGCTCGCTGACTTGGATCTTTACCGTGCAGGTGCTATTAACCAAGGACACAGATATCAATTGGCCCGCGAAGATGCCCAAAAGCAGCATTCATGTTCCTTCATGGCGTGCTTATTGCAGCTCTCGTGCTGTGCAGAAAGGTGCGGCAGGAATCCTGCCTTGTTGCTGACCGTTATGCAGTCTTTGGCGAATCAGCTTGTAGCGCTGCCCCACTCCGCCTCACTGTCATGCTGGGCTCTATAGTCTGCCAGCGCCTGTTTGCCTTGTCGTGCCCATCATGCGACCAAAGCTGCACGACCCACCAAGACCTTTCCAACCACCTCATGCGGCAGCACCAGCTCTACTTTTGCAGTCTTTGCGTCCAACACAGTACCAAATTTCCCTCGGAATACGTACGTGCACCGAGTCGGCAGTTCCGCGTGCCAAAGAGCCACGGAATACAGGCTCGGACCAACCCCACCAAGCTCCTGGTTTTTTTCACTTTGAAGTTTGGCTCACTTTAGGCCACATACACGCAACAAGACCTGCGTACGCATCGCAAGCGAGGCGACATCAACTGTCCAGATGGTCACCCAGAGTGCGGCTTTTGCAGGCATCGGTATGTGTGTGTGTGTGTGTGTGTGTGCGCGCGCGCGTGTGTGTGTGTGTGAGTGACCACCAGCGCGTTGCGGTGAATGCCCTCCTCCATGAGTCTTCTAGCCGAAACATGAGCTCACTTCACAGGCATGGCCGGCCACTGCATGCATAGCTACTATGATAACGACGCATTGCACGCGCACCTCAAGCACGAACATAGCCACTGTGGCCTTTGCGCCAAAATTGGCAAGCCACACGAATACTACACGGATCAACGTGCGCTCGACAAGGTCGGGGTTCCTCCCTAGTTCTTGTTGCAGTCCCTGACGTGCTCCATCCCAATGTTTTGTCAAATCATCGTGATGCTCACGCCCGCCCACCCGTCTTTTCTGGATCTGCTTGCAGCACTACCGGGAGGAGCATGTGGCCTGCCCACATGGCTGCTTTCTTATCGCCTTCCTCAATGACATTGAGCTGCAGCATCACATCGTTGAAGAGCATATGGAAGGCCGTTCACGCGCCGAGAAGCAACGCGCACGCGCGCTTGACCCCGCCACTTTCTTTGATACAGAAAGCGCGGGTGGTCGCTCCGACCGCCAGCAAGGTCACGGCGAGGGACGTGGGGCTCGCAGTCGAGACCGCAACCGGGGCAACGACCGACGAGCTCGGGAGATTGAGGCCACTACTCAGCAGCAAGAAGCCCGTATGCATGTCGATGCTGCCACCGCCGCTCCTGATCTGAGTGAAGCGGCCTTTCCCACTCTTGGCGGCGGCGGCAAAAACGGAGGGGGACCAAGCGCTCCTCAGGCGGCAGCACCACCGGGTGCTTCGATGGCCGCGCCAAATAGCGGCCCAGCGTCGAACAATTTTCGTGCTGCTATCGCCGGTCCCAACATGGCCAACATGGCTGGACCTTCTTTGAATGAGGCTTCCTTGGTTGCCGCCGTGGAGGCCTCGTGGCCATCGCTGGCAGCCGCGGGTCCTCCTTCTCGCCGCTCTGGCCCCAATCCTGCCCCCAATCGCGGTCAAGGCACTGGTCGTGGCTCTGCGTCTGGTCGTGGAAGCGCTGCTTCCCGCGGGGGTGGATCCAGTCGTCCCAAGCAGGGCGGTGCGGCGACGTCGGCAGCCTCAAGCTCAACCATGGCAACTCGTGCCCATGACTATATCCGTCCTGCATCCTTCAAGGAGCGCAATGACGCCATGCGCAAGCTGCTCATGCGCAGTCTGCAGTCTGACGCCGACTTTGACGAGTTCAAGTCGTTGACGGCCACCTTCCGCGAAGGCCACGTGTCTGCCGATGACTATTTCCGTCGTGCCCATCAGCTCTTGGGCGATGCCACGCCTCGCGTGTTTGGTGAGCTCATTGCCCTCCTTCCCAACATTCGTTTGCAAGGCTTGCTGCTGCAAGCTTATAATGATGAGCGCCATCGGAGCCAGGTACGTTGAACACTCGTGTTCATGGCAGTCTAGCGCAGCATTCATGAGAGGGATTTGAAATGAACGGCTGACGATTTGTGATGGCTTCGATGGCATTGACCCACGGCTTAGGTCAAGTCGGTGACCTTGAATACCAGGGGGCCTCGTAGCAAGGTCACGGTGACAAAAGCTGGTACTGGTGGTTTACCCGATCTAGGCCTGCACCAGTGTCGCACCTGTGGGCAATTGCTCAAGAGCACCGATGCAGCTGCGCACCAGGCACATCATGACCCCGAGGTGGAGTCTGACTTTCCTAGTCTCATGTCTGTCGGGCGTGGTCGCGCAAGGAGCGGCCCAGCAGTCGGACGTAGTGGACCATCCGCCGTCAGCTCTGCCTGGGGGGCGCGGCGCTAGGTGACTGGCTTCATTCGTGTAGGACAAGTCCAGCTGCGCTATCAAGTGCCCTTCTCCTCCAACCGACGTGTCATTTTTTTTTCTTGATGATGGGACGCATCGTGAAATCGCCACAACCTGCCAAGTCGACTGATCAGTGCTTGAAGCGACACGTGTCACCATGGCTTTGCAAAACCGTGTAGCTGTGATACCAAGTCGCAACCTGTGGGTACAAGATTTTGTGGATGCAATTGATGCTTCATCAAGAACAGTGTTGTGATGTCTTTCTTGAGAAATTACTGGGAGAACTTTGAAATGAGAAAAACCGAGGCATCAATGCGCTTGAGAAAACTCATCCAAGGCCGTGGGCAGCAGGTTCCTATGCGATGAGATAAAGAAAAAAAAATGCAGATTGGAGTGAGCTGGCGATTGTCAAAGCCGACCAAAAGTTGCTCAACAACCAACCAGAGTCTGTCCACCATGTCCATCGGGGGCAACCCGGCAAGGGAACAGGATGCATCATCGATGGTTTGGGATCTTGGCAACTCTGTCTCCCGCTCTTGAGCTTGGTAGCAACTCAAGAGTGTGAGTCGTGGTGCTTCATTTGGAAAATGAGCCGGAAGCTCCACTCGCAAAACGGCAAAAAAGGTACCAGCCTAGTAGTGAAAGAAAGGCCGAGGTCTAGGCATCATTCACACGCAACAACTGTCCATACACAAAGGCATGGGGAGGAGAAGACAACGAGAACCACAAATCAAACTGACCGTCACGAGGGCATGTAACACAGAGAAGTTCTGCGCGTCATACTCTAAGATGGAGCTGAGAGGCAAAGCAAACAGGAGAATTTGCACCATTAGCTGCGGCTGGCCCTGTGAGCGACATTTACTTTTGGCTGGTATAAAAGTACCCGCCATTTGAGCCTAGACAAGGCCTTACCCGCCAAAGCGTGCCAGGCAGGCTGCAATGAACAGACGGCGCGCATCACTCATTTGCTCGGGCTGGCAAATGTGGTCAGCCACGGCATCGCACAAGCGCGCCGCGGCTTGCTTCACGGTAAGAGAGGAGTTCAATACCGGCAACGTGAAGTTGAGCAAACGGGTGGCTTCAAGTGCTTCAGGGATGTGACACGAGTAGCTGGGTTGCCACTCGCCATCTGTCTGGCGTTGCAAGTCAACCTCCAATTGCACAGACTGCCCCAGAAGATCGCTTGACACATCCTGAAGCCATGCAGTCCTTTGTGAGAGATAATCGGCTTGATGTGTGTGCATAAGCATTATTCGAATCAGCCTTTGTGCCTGTCTCAACGATAGTGACAGGGGAGGACTGGGGGCAGAGGGTGGCAGTGCGTACTGGTGCATGTGGCACTAGATCAGCCAAGTCATAGCAAAATCTCAGCCAGGCCCGGGAAAAGGCCGGAGTGCCGTGTCCGGGGGGAATTGAGTTGGAGCTCGTTACAACAACGGCTGCTTGCAATCCGTATTGTTCATCAAGCCTCTCGTTGATGCCACCTAGCGCATCCTGCAAAAACTCATCTGATGCGTGCAGCAAGATCTGCCGTTGGTGCTTGAGATACTCCTAAGCAAACAACTTAGGTTAAAGCAAGAAGGGACATTGCCATGTGGCCGTGTTTGCAGCCACAAACCCCACAGATGTGCGGTTGTTCAGCAAAGCCTCGTCATAAGCATACCTTGAGGTAAAAGTCGAGCAGGACTTGAACATGGTCAGACCACCAAGCATCCTGTCAGGTCATCCAAACCGCATAGCCAGTGAGCGCCGCAAACGGAATGAGAATGAAAATGAATTTAAACTTGAAGACCATTGGGCGACTTGTGTCAACGCGTACAGCGGTTGGAGGAAATGCTACAAAGGTCGCCAAATCGGCGTCCAGAATGATATCAGGTGCTTCATCGAGTGCATCTGGACAATAGATGAGGGTCCCTAACCAAATGAGCCCAGACAATCCGAGACACCAGGGTTAGGACGCGCAGAAGCAACCACACAATGGAGGCTGCATGCTTCAAGGGAGGGGGGCAACGTCGCGTACAAGTGCAGTCGCGTGGCCCAATTTGAAAAGCGATGTCAAATCCTGACACACGGTCTTCAAATAGCACAGCTTTGACCTCGGGGGGCGCAGTCAAGGCTGATGGATGCCAGGCGCGGATCTGTTTCGCGATGGCCTGGTGCTCGCCGGGGTTGGCCCGCATTCCCATTTTTGCATGTTAGCGCCACATCATGTTCAAGCCTCTGCAGCCTTGTGCCCGTCCACGCAGCCCTCGACACTCTGCCTTCAGAGCTTTTAATCTCAGGTAGCCGCCAACGGTAGCCTTTCACTGCAAAAAAAAGAGAAAAAACATGAGTTCGTAACGGTCAGTAAAAGTCAGATGTTATTGTGTGTGTGTGTGTGTGTGTGTGTGTGTGTGTGTGTGTGTGTGTGTGTGTGTGTGTGTGTGTGTTTCATTGTTGGTTGCTGGGGCGGCGGCGGCGGCCAGGACAGCAACAGCAACAGCAGCTGCGCCGCGGCCTTGTCAGCCGGAGCAGCAGCGACTTTGATGGGTGTGTCTTGAAGAGGGCACATCAGGCCCTGTGCGTAGATTGTGGAGGAATTTGGGTTGCTGTAGGAGTGCAACCATGAACTATCGAGGTGGGCGGTGCCGGTGCGGTGGGCCCTGACGCTGGCCTCCGCCAAGGCTCACACACCTGACATGTGTGTGTGTGTGTGTGTGTGTGTGTGTGTGTGTGTGTGTGTGTGTGTGTGTGTGTGTGTGTGTGTGTGGACAGGGGAGCGAGATCCAGCAACAGACATGCCACATGGGCAAGGCGAGCTGATGTATTTTGATCAGGGCTTTTATCGAGGTGGGTCAGATTCGCATGGCCAGCGCTCTGATATGCCCGCGCATCTCCATTCTGATGGTGTCGCCCCCAAATTAGGCGAGTTCAAGCATGGTGAGATGACGGGCCGGGGCTACCGCCGCTACATCAATGGCACGACGTATGCAGGCGACTTTGTCGAAGGTGGGTCTGCTCATATCGCTTGTCACGCCCGGCCCTCTCCCTCCCCGAGCATTCATGCGCAAGGTCGCAAGTTTAGGTCTACGCCACGGCTGGGGCCGACTCATCATGGGTGGCACGATTTATGAAGGTCCCTTTGAAATCGATCAACGTCACGGTCAGGGGTCTCGCCTACTCTCCGTTGCATCGTTAATTGGGCATCGACCACCCCCAAAACCACAAGGCCAAATTTCTAATCACGCCGCAATACGCATAGGACCGGTTGGCACCGAGTCCCTTCCGGACGGTAGCACGTATACCGGCATGTTTCAGAACAATAAGCGGTACGGTGTTTGCAGGGCAATGTTTTAATCCTGCACGGGGCAGGGTGGGCTTAGCCGTTCATTGGACCCAAGCGTAGCGCGCACCCTTCACATCGGCCCGCGCCACGGATTTCGCAGTCACGGCTGGGGTGTATTTTGTCGTCCCGACGGCCAGCTCTTTGATCAGCATTGGCGGCAGGGCCGCTTGGTGAGTGAGGTTGTGCGAGCAAGCCCGCCCCGTCTTGATGGCACCGGCAGTGCAGAATCCGGGGCCGCTTGAGCAAACGCTCTGGGCACCAGCTGAGCTGGGTCCAAGTTTCGTCGTGTGTGCGCCCATGTTCAATCGTTTGCCTTCTAATCTAATACAGCGAGATTTACAAGGATCAACTCTCCCCAACACAAATGATATAGACGCGTTCTTTTGTGCAGAGGCTGAGCATAGATGGGGCCGACACACGTTTATGAAAGAGCAGCAAGGAACGATAGGAATCGATTCAAGTCAGTGAAAGTATACAACGGCAAGGCACTTTGCCAAAACAACTATTTGGCATCAAGCAGCGTCCTCAACATGCAGTGGGCTTGATATAATCGCCCAATAGCGTTGGTGCAGAAGCTTTTCCTACCACCAGCCGAGATGACGAGATACGGAGCAGGTTGAGATGAGGGCTGAACCCAACTCAGGCACTCAGACAGACGGCGAGGTCACGATACGCACCTTCGGCAATGTCGTTGATTGTCTTGAGCAAATCAAATGCAAGCTCATCGGGAACCACCGAGTCTTGCTGATACAAGGGGTGCTGGTGCACGTACTCGCGAATCCACTGGGCTTCGGTCAAAAGCTTGCCAGCAGCTCGATCGCTGAGGAAATCGAGGTAGCGGCGGATTTGGCAACTGCAAGAAGGCGCGACAGGCAAACGTCATCAGGTGCGTTGCTCGCGTCGCGCACTGTCATGGCACGTGATGAGCGGCAAACTGACTAGCTATCCAGCTCCAAATCCATTGACTTGAGGTAAAGGTCCACCAAGGGTAGAAGGCCTGGGAAGGAATCGGGCTGCAGAGCCGAAAAAGTGAAAAGAACAAGGTTTTCACAATACTGAGGTTGCTCAAGATCCTTTGTGCATCAATGCATGCAGACGACACACACACCTTGCCGTTCAAAATGTGATCCAACGTCATCAGCTCGCAGCTGTCGGGATGTGGCGGTAGGCGCACCATTGGCGAGCCGGCTGGCATCTCATCTGAAGACCAATTTTATATCAAACAGGTAAAATACACCATGGATATTTGCATGAGCTGTGCCAATTCGCAATCAAGGTATACGGTAGGAGATGCAGTCTGAACAGTGTGGCCCATGAGCTACACGTCAAGTCGCCGAGCAGGCAAGAGCAGTGGGCCAGAACGGGGGAGGGTGGGGATACCAGTAAGGTGTTGACGGCACCAAAAGAGGCCTTGACGCGCAGCATCTCTTGTTTGTGCCATGTCCATGTTCTCATCGACCTTCGAAAGCGGCATGTACAGGTTAAGGTCGAAGGAGAGGATCGTGCGGGAAAGAAGGACGATAAAGATGGTGTAGGCGGCATTTTCAAAGTCGGTAAATTGGACTTCGCAGGTGCGAAACTCAACGCGCCACCCTAAAGCAAGCAGGCGCACGTAGGCGGCGTTGAAGTGGCAGGTGAGTCCTGTCAAGCTTCAGAACTGGATAGGAAGGCAAGCTCGGGCAGAGATAGCACGGACCAATATCAGAGCCCGACGGAGGAGGCTTGAAGCGCATGGTTTGCCAATTGGTGCTTTGAAGGTTCTGCAACACGTGCCAGCGCCAGTGCCAATGTAGAAGCCATGGGTAGGATGCAATGTGGGAGTCACGCAATGCACCGGGGATGACTTGGAAGCCGAGAACATCATGCCACGGCCGTTTGACACCTGCGTCGTACCTCAAAATGATCCGTGGACGTCGAATCATCTTGATCAATCAACTCACGGAAGACGACCAATGGATCTCGGATAAACAGGTGTGCAAAGTGACGGGCCAAGCGCAGGTCGAAGCCTGTGATAAGAGCACGGAGCCAGCTTGTGAGCTGGTCATTGAAATAATCGATTAAACGGGTCATTGTTGCAACGAACGAACCATTATCGAGCAGCGTCTGCAGGATGCCATCATCAACCTCCAAGGGAATATCCTCAAACTCTGGTTTGTTACGTGGGTCTGTGGGGTAGGATTCACAAATCGCAGAGGTTAGAGTGCGCAAAGGTCGTGACGTAATGATGTAAAGCTGGACTGGAGTATCCAATGTCCCAATGTTCCGATGTGAAATGAAGCAACGGCGCCACGATGCCGCAATGCCGCGATACGACGGACCCTCAGAGAGATAGCTGCTGATGGAGCCATAGCGAGATTTGCTGATCTCCATGCGGTCATTCTTCAGGGGCTCAAGCCCGCGCTCCTCCGCCGTTCGGCAGTCAACCGAGCCGGCAATGACGTCCCAGCGTGCATCACGATCAGAGAGATACCCACGGAATATGGGTGCTGAGGCTGAGAGAGCCAGGAAGATGGGGGTCACGTTGGCCAGCTGGTCGTATAGGTGGCGTGCCTCTTCAACGCTGCGGGATTTAGACCCGGGCAAACAGAAAGAGACACGTGGTTTGATGAGATAAAAGGGCTACATGGTCGAATCTGGGTGGGTTGGGACGGCCTTACTTGCGGGCCTGAAATGTGACTTGAAGACACGAGTTGCCCATGCCAAAGCCCATGGCATCCATGTAAATGTGATCGGGCAGCGCGGCACTCGCACCCTCTGGGTCTTCGGGGTGTCCTGCGTCCCGAAAGTCATGACAGCTTTGTTAGCAAAGGCAGCAAAAAGAACGAACAAGCCTCATTCAAGCAGTGATCATCCCGAGCTCTACCAGTGTTGGCAAAATCCTCAATGAAGGGCATGGGCGTTTTAGTATCGCGGAAGACTGCCATTGTATCAAGCACATGCCAGCCGCGGGCAGGTGCATGCGCAGAGTTAGGTTTGATCGGGAAACAACTTGACGCAAGGAGTAACATAGAGTTGAGGCAAAAGCAAGAGAAAACATACTGGGAATGTTCATGGCGACCTTGGAGCCACGGCGCCTGCGGATATTGGCTGTCAGCGTTGGAAAGCTGAATGACGCACGAGCAATCGGGCGTACAGTTTTTGAGTTCTGAGCGACCGCGTCCGAATAGGCCAGAGTTGATACGGATAGCCAGAGCCAGGTCGAAGGAGAGCCAAGGGGCGTACCGCGGATGTTCATTAATCGCCTGGTCGGGAAAAAAAAGGGACTTGCTCACATCTCCGCCAGGCGAAGGAGCATAAGGGGGTTCGGTGAAGAGGCCGCAGCCCAGTCGAGGGAAGACGGTAATGGTCATGACCACCTCGCCGTCTTTGAGTGCCTTCTTAGCTTGCTGGCGGCGCAAGGCCATGTTACCCTCAACCTGTTGACGCCGAGCGAATCAAGGCGGTCGTCAAAAGTAAGCTTAGTTTGCAGCAAAGCAGAGCGAAAGGGATCAAGGGTTGGCCAGCGCCGCACCTTCAGCATATCCTCAATGCGCCCACCATAGGGTGCGGCGGGGGTGGACTCGATCATGTAGCGCCCATACTCGGGATGCCAGAGCACACGGCCGGCCTCGGTGTCGGGCCAGTCTAAAGTCGTCGGACGAGCGAATGAGGCAAAACAGAGCAACGGGGTGAATGTGGCGAGCAAGCAGTGCACGGTTCTCTGGCGAGGGAATAAAAGTAGTAGAAGTACCCACCCCGTGAGATGGTATCAAGCTCATCTAGCAGCTGCTTGCCCCTATGGGCAATTGCAATGACACACGCGGGCGCGGGGTCAGACAGAAGTCTGGTGCCGGCCGAATGGAGCCCAAGTCTAAGCGTCCTACCGGAGCACGAGGCGCGCTTGTCGCTTGTCCTGGTCCAGAAGCACGACCATGCATTCAACTTCATCGCCCCAGAGCAAAATGTCTTGTTGTCGGCCCTTGAGTCGGTTCCAAATGTTAACCAGCTGGACAATGCCATGCTCCCGGACATGATCAGCAATCGGCTTGACGTCCTTCCAATGCATGGGGGTCCCCAGACTCAGCAGGCCCATCGTGCTGGCCTAAATCGATGCCGAATTTTCCCAGAAAGAGAGAGATAGAGAGAGAAGAAGAAGAAGAAGAAGAAGGGGCGCGCACACCACCCACCACACAGGTGGATGAACTGAGCTGATGGCAGCGGCGGCAACTTTGGAGTCCTGGCGCTCCCCCCCAAAGTTCAAACGAAACTGCGCCACACAGAGAGAGAGAGAGACAGAGAGAGAGAGAGAGAGAGAGACAGAGAGAGAGAGAGACAGAGAGAGAGAGAGAGAGAGAGAGAGAGACAGAGAGAGAGAGAGAGAGAGAGAGAGAGAGAGAGAGAGAGAGAGAGAGAGAGAGAGAGAGAGAGAGAGAGAGAGAGAGAGAGAGAGAGAGAGAGAGAGAGAGAGAGAGAGACAGTGTGTGGGTGTAGAGAGCAATGACTCCAACTGCCAGCAGCACAAGGGATGGTGAGCCACTGACCTTTCCTTTCTGTTGGTGCTGGTGTTGGTGCTGGTGCTGATGCCAGCGCACCAGCGCACCTTGCTCAGCTCAGCTCAGCTCAGCTCACACTTGCCAACACGCGTTCCGGCGCCTCACCGCCATAAGTCAAGATGACGACGATTTACAACACACACACACACACACACACACACACACACACACACACACACACACACACAAGAGCGATGGAGTCATGATGATGCTATTAAAGTGTAGTTTATAGTAGACTTGGGCATATTTGTCAGAAAGCGAGTGTAGGAGTGGCGAAAGCAGTGAGCATTTTGAAATTCAAAGGCGGCGCGTCTGGCTGATGGCATGGCGACCGCGGCAGATGACATGGAGGTATGGGCGACGTGTTCATGGGACTTGGCCAACAATCTGATGGACCCTTGCATGGGATAATGTGCGTTAAAGAGGGGACCGGCTCACGTGCCCTTGCTCGTGTTGGGATAGCCCTCGCCCTTGCAGGAAGCGATCCGGCAAACGCTGCTGCAGCTGGCCCAGCTAGAACCTGAGCGCCCCCTGCGCTGCACCCTTCACAAAAATGCCCTTCCTAGCCTTTGTATGTGCTCATGCTGGCCCTAACATCCAAGCTGTGGGAAGCAGCCAGGTGCAGAGTGATGCGCATTCGCGGCGCGGGCAAATCGGTGCTGATCAATGTTCTGCTCAATAAACCCTGCAGCCATGGTGGCGGAGGAGCTGGTCCGGGATGCGCTTTTGCCGGCCACGTGGCCGCCGGTGCCAGATACGCAGGGCCAGGGCGACGGAGACCACGACAGTGCTGGTGAAGACAGCGCAGATGACCAGCTCATGGCTGCCCAAGACGATGATATCTTGCCTTCGGATGTAGACTCGGCCATTGACGGCGCAGGCTCGGAGGGCTTGCAAGAGGTGGAGGCCGCGGCACGGGATGTCGTGCGGCAAGATTCAGAGTGATACACTGCAAAGGGGTGTCAGCAACAACGCGCATGGTGGCAGCTGCATGGACTCTCGCGCTAGCGATAGCGGTGCGCCGTACACTGTCTCTTTTTGTTCATAGGTAGCCTGTTCATAAGCGTTGGCTCCAGGATGCTGAAGTTCTTCAAAACAGCATGGCAATTGCGCACCACCATCGAGGAAGCTGCCTGTTCAAGGAGACATCAACGCCTTCCCTTAAGCAACTCCCCCCTCTCGTGTCCTGATTCGAATTTCTTTACTCTAAGCGAATGATGTTTCACCGTCAGATCTATCCTACCCTCATCGACACGAACGGCCACAACATTGTATGCGCATCGATGCTTTGTTCTACGCATCGACTTGGCCAGCTCGCCAAGTTGCTACACCTGAAACCTTCAACTTGATATCGGGTTTACAACCCAGAGACAAAAACAGAGAGAGCGCGCTCGTCATCTTTTTATTTTTTATTTTTTTTTTACTTTTGGGTGTCAGGCTCTTTGGAGCCATCAGATCTGATCTGATCAGATCTGATCACAGCTGCGTAAAAGGGTGCTGGCGCTGGGTTTTAGACGTGCCGTGGTGAATAGAGAGTGCGCGCAAATAGCATGGTTGGTCGATTGGTGCAGGCGCTGCCAAGGCGGCCGTGGCTTCGATCAGGGCGGGTGCAAACTCGCTGGTCCAGCCGCCAATGGCGGAGATCCAAGCCGATCGCGCCACACCCGCACCAATCCAAATACGACGAGCAAGGATTCTTGCTTCTGCCCAAGTTTTTCACGCCTCGCGAGGTGGGAGCTTTAAGGAGCGAAATGGATCGGCTCCTTGCACAAGCGCCGACAGATCCGATGCATAGCACAAACGCGCTTGTTCTTGACGCGCAGCTGACCAAGCTGGACTACGATAAGCTGGATCTGAGCCGCCGCCTGGGGTTTCACTTTGATCGCGGCACCCCTTCTGTTCCAGGGGCATTGCCACAGCACCAGCCGTCGCGCGAGGCCCCAGACACCTTTATTCCCCGAAGCATCATCAATGTTTTTTATGAGAGTGATGTGCTACAACGCTTGGTGTTTCATCCACGGCTGGTTGATCAAGTGTTGACCCCGGTGTTGGGAGAAGAGATTCGGTTTTACAACAGCCGCTGCTTCCTCAAGCCGCCCCGCGGTCTAGGCACAGCCTGGCACCGCGACATTGAATTCTTTGATGCTGATCCGAACCCCATCATCAATGTGCTCGTCTTTCTGGACGATCAGACTTTGGAAAACGGGTGTCTTCGAGTCATTCCACGATCGCACCTCTCAGCACCACGGGGTCGACTTGACCTCCAAGCCGAGTTTCCAGAGCTATTGGTATCAGAGCAATGGGAAAAGGGCTACTCTGGTCCACTGCCTGGGGAAGTGGCAATGGCCTGCCCTGCGGGCAGCCTGCTGCTGGTGGACCACTTTACGTTGCACGGCAGCTCGGACAACATGGCTGCGAGCACTCGACGCATGATCTCGCTGGGCTACGCTGATGTGGCTCAAACGCGAGCGGGTGACGTGCCCCGCTCCATTCTCGTACGTGGTCAACGTCAACCCAACGAACAGGGCGATTACACCTCGCATGTTTGCAGAACTCAAAGCTTTGGCGCGCCCGTCGATGTCTAGCGTTTGTAATTACATCGAGTTGTTTGAATTGAGTGCGGGTCAAGAACCACAAGCCAGCTCTTGCCCTTGTTCAGCTGGTTCGGCGCAGCGGCAGCAAATGCCAAGGCCATAGACGGCTCAGAGAGTGACCATGACTTGGCACACATGATCATGACCAATGTGGGTTGAGAAGAAGACCAAGGCTCTTGCTGGGAGTGCGTTGGCACGGACAGCGGAGACCAGCCGCGCTGCCGCAGGGAATAACCAAAACAAATATACAAATCCACGGGCAGGACAAGACAAGGGCGGGCACAGGAACAAGAGCCAAGTCGGAGTGGTGACACACGGTCGCTGCAGCTTTACTCGTTGAGCTGCACATAGTTGGCCGGGAAAAGACCGCGCTGGCCTCGGCAAGTACCCATCCACCAGCCTTCATCGACCTGCTCAATGTCAGTAATGACATCGTCGGGATCAAAGGTGATTTCATCATCACCCTGTGCCTGATAATCGTACAGCGCGGTGGCAGTCAAGCCTGCATCCTCGGCAGCGTCAGCCGATTCAGGTTCAGGTTCGGGTTCAGGTTCGGGTTCAGGTTCAGGCTCGTATTCGGGTTCAGGTTCGGGTTCGGGTTCGGGATCGGGATCGGGGGCTGCCTGTGCCGCAGCAGCCTCTTCCTCTTCAGCGCGCGCTACTTCGGCTTGGGCGCGTGCTGCCGCGGCTTGTGCCTCCTTCTCCCGGCGGGCAGCATCAGCTGCCTCGCGCTGCGCACGAATACGGGCAGCCTCTGCTTCACCCTCTGCCTGCTTGGTCTCGTTCATATGCTCATAGCGCTCGCGAAAGTTTTTGGCTGATCCTCCGACAATGGCCGGCTTTTCATAGGAAGAGCCCACGGGCCCCGAGTCGCCAAAGGCATGCGCAGATTTGTCCTATCCCACCAGCAATAGAAACCACCATGTCACATGTGCACGTGAGGCCAGTGGAACAACGGGTAAGGAAAAGAAGCACATCAAGAACAACAACAACAACAAAAAAAAAAAAAATCAAAATCGACACAGTCACAAAGGCATGACGATGCCAAAGCGAAGGCAGACAGGGTACAGGCGAATCTCACCGCGCCTTGTAGGCCGTACTGGCCACCAAAGCCCTTCTTGCCATCAACTTGCGACGAGTGCAATGCCTTTTCAGCCTGGTAATCATGGCCCACGGCCGACTGTGGAAGTGCACGATTGATGAGCCTCGGGACAACAAGGACCTTGAGCACCTGAGCATGCGAGGAATACGGCTGTTCTTGCCCAAGTGTACCTTGTCCTGCACCTTCTCCACGCCAAACTTGCCACCGTAACCACGGGCAAAGTCGTGCTTCACTTGGCTCTTGGTGCTGTCCTCCTGCACGGCCTGGCGAATGCCCTCGAGACTGTTTGAAGTATGAAGATGGGTTGGATCCGCGGTCAGCAACATACTGTGGGACGAAGGTCGGGCATAAATTAGTTCTGAGCATAAACATACCCGCCGGCGACGTGCTGGCGCCCTGATCCCTCGATCGTGCGAGAGCCCCAGCGAGCCTCCTTTTCCGAAACATCGTTTTCAAAGTCGGCCTCAGTCTCCCAGTCATCATCCTGGAGGAAATCATATGGTGACGCGATGAGCTGAAAACCATTGAGTCGGCTGCTGAGCATTCAAGAGCAGGCGGAGCTGCCGTACATCGTCACCTCCCGTTGCCGTCACGTCCACGCCGGCGCGCCACATGATCTCTGGTCTTGTTTGGCCTTGAAAAGCTATCGATAACAGGGAGTGCCATCGTCAGCTGGCACTGCCCCACAAACAAAGAGTCGCAACAACCCCATTGCGAAACGGGGCACTGCCAGGCGAGTCACTTTCCCTCCATGCTTTACTACCCCACCACCCCATCCCAGACACTAGGCCACCGATCCATCTGCCCCCCTTCCACCCGACCACTGCCATCAACTCACCACCCCTCGCACACCGCGAAATATAAATACGCAGCCCAGTCCCAAATTTCGCGCGCGCGCCAACTGGTCCAGCCACTGACGGCTGCTACCCGACGACATCCACCCTGCCATAAGGTAGCACACTGTTTTTCTGACATTGTTTCGCATCCGTCTGACATTGTCGAATAGTCATCATTATTTTCACGTGTCAAAGCGGTACGTGAGAGAGAGAGAGAGAGAGAATGTGTGTGTGTGTGTGTGTTGAAAAGGGCAGCGCTCCCTCTCCTGCTCGACTCGTCGTTGATGATGGGACGGAGGCACAGAGGGTATGGGGAGGTCGGATTGATGGTGGCGTAGATCTGGGGCTACGCAGGAATGGAATCTAGTCGACCTTGGATGGTTTTCGGGATGGCAAACACCTCGTGCTGATCGGTTTTTTCTTTTTGCGGCCTCAGATCATCGTTCATCATGCCGTCTGTCGAAGAGCAATTGGCGCGCTTCATGGCTCAGCGTGAGTAGTTCGCAATCGCCGGCAAAGGGAGATTCAACAAGAGGAAAGATCTGTGGGCGCTTGCTCAAAGGTCAGCTTTCTTCTGACCATTGTTTGGCTTCTGCGCAAATCATCATCCATCATTCCATGACAGGTGAAGCTGGGGCTACCGCCAAGACTTCCGCCTCGATCCAGCCCGTGGCTTTCAACGATCCCGAAGAGCAGGTGCGGTCTGCTGGTCTACTGGCAAGCGGGGAGGAGGGGGTGGGCATCAAATCGCGTTGATTAGGTGCTTGGAGAAGCAACCTTCTTCTTTCCAACTTGTAAACTTGAAAGTTAAATTACAAATCGGGGGTCTTGAATAGATCCGCCGATACATGAGCGGTGCGCCCCCTGCAGTGGCTGCTGATGCTCCTGCCAAGCCGACTGAGGTGCCCCGCCTAGCAACCACGCCTCTCGAGCCTGTCAAGGTCAACGGCACCATCACAGTGCCCGCGGTAAGTGGTGCCAAGCTGTCTTTCGCTTTGTCGCGTGATTCATGTGCTGCGGCCAATAGCGCCTTGCTGTTCTCACGCCTCTTTCCCCAAATTGGGGTTGCATATGCTTCCATCAACGTCAGGCCCATTTTGTGGACCTGCTGACCAACGTGCTTCGTCTCGAGGGCTCCATCGTCACTGGTCCCGGCTTTGCCTTCAAGGTAAGATAAACGCATTCTCTTGAGGTCCGGCCTCGATACACCGGTAGACGCATGCTCTTGAGGTCCAGCCTCGATACACCATGGAGTTGAAAGGACCGTGGCATCTTAACTGCTCTTCTGCTGCCGTTTATAGTCAGCCTCCGTTGAGGGTTTCCTGCCAAGCTTGGCAGCAGCTGCGCCAAGCCATCCCTTCCTGGGCCGAACTGCGGAGCAACGTGCCGAGGTCGGCCTTTCTCTTTAGTCTCACCAACCTTGGGCCAGACATGCGCACCCACCAGTTTTGTACTTATTCACACCGAGCACGCTGTTTTCCATGCTTGGAGAGCGCAGGTGGTACAATGGTGCAATTTTGCAGCCAACGAGCTGGTTCATGTCACGCCCGGATTTGCCGAGCGCACCATCTCCGCCTTCCAGGTATGCGTTTCTGCAGCCACCACAAACCGCCATTGCGCATTCAGCTTGTTTCTTGAGATTGGTGTGGCTCCTGTACACTGACACCTACTCCTATCGGGTGTACCTATGCAGCGCCTGGATGCTCAACTGGCCCAGGGCTGCTGGCTTTTGGGCAACGAGCCCACCGTGGCCGATTTCGCCGTCTGGCATGAGCTGTCCCGTGTCGTGGTGCGTGGCCCGTTCTTGGTTTGGATGACAGTGTATGCCTGCGACTTATCGTTGCTGGCCAAAGAGCAGCCTCGGCCTTCACCTAGTTCTGCCCTCGCTATTGTGACAGAGTGGTTCCATTTACGCTGCCATCTGCCGCTTTCACAACGTCATCCGCTGGCTCGACTTTGTTCAGCGCCTGCCTGGCTGGAAGCCCGCCCCGGTCAGTCTACTTACCTCGGCGGCCCCTCGCATGTTGAGCCATCGAGAGCACTGACTTTTCGCTCACCCTGTTCTGCTTTCTTTTCTCTCTCTCTCTCTCTCTTTATTTAACTTCTGTTGACTGTCGCTGGCCAGGCTCTTCGTCTCGTGCTGAACAGCGGCATCCAATTTGCGCATTAAGGCATTTTTAATGCCCCTCCCCCACACAATTGACCACGCTTGTCGCTTTTCATCGTGATCAAACTGACAGTCAGCCTGGATCCTACACTACCTACACTATCCAGAGCAACGAACGCACGTCCTCACAACCAAGCACCACCCAAGCCCCTACCCTCCCTCCAACAAATGTACCTTCACATCACAGACGAAATCCTTCGCAGCAAACGTAATTGTCTGACAAACCAGAAAGGATGACTGTTATCTCTCTTTTCTTTTGGATGATGTATGTGAGTTGTTTTTCTGACCTTTCCTTGGATACGACGCCAGCTTCATTGGTCCTTTCCTCCCCCCGGGTCTTCATGGAAGACGCCGCGCGCTTGGCCGGTCTCTGAGGCGAGAGCTCCTTTTCTTGCCCCCCGGCCGCCGATGCTTGATTCGGCCTCGATCGTAGGAATTGATGGCCCGGTAGCTGGAAAGCGCGGGCGTGTCGACGCAGAGCACAGCGCGCTTTGGCTCAACGAGAAGTGAGCGTACGCGAAAGCCAGCCGTCAGTCGGGTGTCAGCCTCCTACTCGCTGCGCTGCCGTGAGCTGTGGCACCAGCCTTTCCCATTTCTGCAGTGCAAAGCAACAATAGAGTGGACTCTCCGTCTCTAACCACACAGACCAAGCAGCCTCACATCGCTCTCATGGCTGCCCGCCTCGAGAGCCTGGACGATCGGCCCTGGCAGATGGTATCCTTTGCCTGCAACCCAGCCGTAGACCACGCCTAGACGTTGACACCCTCATGTCTTCTTACAATTCAGCTAGCACTGCTCACGGGTTTCTGTGCTGTCTACCGTGCCCTGCTTCCACATACGTAGCTGCTAGATGGTCATGATGATTGGGTGAACTGCCTCCACGTCAATGCCGAAAGCATCGTGACCGGCGGAAATGATGGCACGGTATGTGTAGGATGGCTGTGCTGATATCCTTTTCGTTGCTGCTGCTTTCTGGCCCTGTTGCTGCCGCGCAATCTCCACCCTCGACGTACCAATGGCACTGCGACACCCCGCACGCACCACCCACATGGCTTGCAAACGTCAAGATCATATCTCATGCAGTCTTCTCCCCGCTCTTGCATGTCTGTATCCAAGGTTATTGTCTACAACGCCGAGTCAGGAAAAGCCAACAACGTATTTGAGGAGATTAGTGGAGGCAGTCCAATAGATGGGGTGCGTCCCTACCATTTATGGATCAGAGGCTCATTTGAGCTTTTTGGTCCGCTGTGGATGATTTTTTTTTCTCTAGGATTGATAATCTCACGCCGTTGCCCCAATTGCGCAAATGGTCGTGAGGCAGATGTCGCTTTCATCAGACAACGAGCGACTGGCTGTGGCAGCTGGGGGTGCTGGTCTTCTTATTTGGAACTTGCGAACGGGCTCAACGCTAGCTCAACTCCGCTCGCCTGACGACACGGACGACCGCGTACGCTGTGTTTGTTGGGATGCACGCGGTCACTATCTAGCTTCAGGATCTTTGGATGGCCGCTTTTCAACCTGGACTTTGGATAAGCTTGGCCAGTACAGTGTCCACTATGGATTCACCTGTAGCAGTGCCATTAATGACCTGGCTTGGTCACCGACAGTATGTCACAGCCCGCTGCTTGCTTGCTTTTTTTCTTTTTTTCTTTCTTTCTTTCTTTCTTTTTTTCCAAGTCTGGTGTGCGATTTCGTGCGCGTGACCCACTCGTCGTTCCTTGGGCTCATGCCGTCACCTGCTGATAGACCCGAAGTGCCCTTGTTATTGCGCTACAAGATGGCACACTTGAGATTGTCAATGTTACACAAAGTATGCTTTTTCCATCGTGTTGTGAGCCCGAAGGCGTTGCGAGGCCAGGCTTGGTCGGATGAGAAGAAGATGAAAGGCATCTCACTCCCCACTGGGGCTGTCTATTTTGCATGCACGTGCCGTATGTGGCTTTAGAAACCCGCACCACGCTGACGCAGCTCCCGGCTGGCGCGATGCGCCTGGCCTGGGATGGCCGCGGTCATAGTCTGGCCGTTGGCCAAGACGATGGCACCCTCATCATTCTTGACCTCAACGGCAAAGTACTGGCCGTACGTCAAGTGTCCATGCTTAGTCGCGCACCCCAAGTGTCCATGCTTAGTCGCGCACCCGTCTACGCCCGCCCACCATTCAGCTTGGGTTGACTGCCTACTTTATAGAAAGTTGCGGCGCATGATGACTGGGTGACGGCGCTGACCTGGGCAGGCAAAGGCCATCGCTTGCTTGCTTCTGGAGGCTTTGAGAAGGACCGAAAGATCAAGGTCTGGTGCTCGCATTGTCCTCATGCTTGCAGCATGTTGCCTGAAGTGAACAGGTCGAACGGGCCCCGCACACGCTGATTGCTGCCAATTTTGCGTGCAGTTTTGGCGTCTGGGTCGTGGGGAATTGCGTTGCTTTGGCACTCTCGATGGACACCTAGGTGCCATCACAGACCTGGCCTTTGCTGTGGATGGCAACAGCGTGATCTCTACATCCTCAGACACAACGGTATCAAAACATAGAACATTTCCTCGTGACTTGGCGCAGGGAACCTTTTTGCTCGCCAGTGCGCCGTTAGCAGAGGTCAAAGCTGAGTGGTCTCAACTTTGCATGCCGACGTTTCGGGCTTTGTGCGGCGTCTAGGCACGCGTGTGGCCGGTGCCCATGTCTAATCGTCCGGGCCGTTTCGAATCCATGTCAGCTGAGGGCCACGATGAATCATGCCGCTGTGTGAGGTACGCACTCATCTTGCTTATTTGCCGTCTCACACACCACATCCTTGGGTCCTGCTGGTATCACGACCTTTGCGTCCCCTCCACTCCCTTTGGGTCGGCAGTCGCAGCTCAACCTCTGTGTGCCACGCTTACAGAATTAGTCATTCAGGCAAACATTTTGCATCAGCCAGTGACGACTGCACAGTACGCGTGTGGGAGACTGCTACGGGACATCGTATTCAGGTTTGGACTTGCCCAGCCTTGCCCATCCGAATTTGGCTTGCTGCCAGTCATGCAAGCATTGATCCGTCTCTCTTTGACACAGACATACCGCGACCATACGGAGTGGGTTACGGCCGTGGCATGGTCTCCGCATGATGATGAGGTGCGGGCGCCCGATGGTAACAAGACGGTTACAACTTGGATTGGCTGTTGCCACTCACTTGACGAGCAGGTCTGTGAGAACTTGTACTTCAATGTTCCTCTCACGACGTCCTTGCGCTTGGTATTCTGGACGGCACCTTGGATAGTTGGTAACAGCGTGCGGGGATGGCCTGCTGCGAGTATTTGGGCTTGACTCTGCGGAACCACGGCGCGTCTTGCAAGGTCACTTGGATTGGGTGGAATCGGTGGACTGGGCGCGAACGGGAGGCTTGATTGTGTCGTGTGCCTTTGAAGAGGATCCCACCGTGCGCGTGTGGGATGCCATGACGGGCCAGCAACAACACTGCTTCTTGGGGCACGAGGGCCGTGTCCTGAGCGTAGACTTTCATCTGGATGGTGCCTTGGTGGCCAGCGGGGGTGCCGATGGCACGGCACGCGTTTGGTCCCTACTGACCCTCACAGAGAGCCGACGGTTGGAGATTGGGGACCGATCGCCCGTCAACGAAGTGCTTTTTTCGGCATCGGGCTATCTGCTTGCAACAGCCGCCGAAGACAGCTCCATTCGGATATTTGAAACTGGCGGCTGGACGTGCTTATATGAATTTCCACGTCATCATCGCTATGTCACTTGTCTTTCTTTTGCCCTCGGGGATGAATATCTGCTCTCTGGCTCGGATGATTTTACAGGTATGTCGCCCGGCTCTCGCGCGTGGGCCTGTGCGTTTCCGAACCAAAAGGAAGTTTTTTCTTCTGCTTTGTCTTTCTTCTGGCCTACACTGATGCCCATGTTGGGGCGTGGGATACATCCGTGTGCTCTGCGTGAGCAGTGGCCTGCACGAGTTTAGGGGACGGTGGCAATCCAGCCTCATTTCAGTTGGACTCGGCCCTGTTCAGTGTGGATTGGCACCCCAACGCCGGTGCCATTGTGGCCTGTGCCTCTGGCCGCCTTGTGCAACTCCACCTCTCGATTGAAGGTACGAGAGCGCTGGACGAAAAGCGGGCACTGCCAGCCAAGAAGAAAGGTTTGGACGCCGTGTAGTGTGCAGTTGTGTGGTCGAGCCCATGTGTTGAATGTCCGTGTTTGGTGCAATGTAGCTGGTGTTCCCGGTCCGTCGCTGGCGTGGCGACAATCATTCCGCAAAACCCAGCGCCTGGGCAAGGCTGAGCCAGCCCGGGCCACGGTGAAGAAAATGCTGGCAATCGAAGCCATGGGGCGCACTGGCCGGCCCTCGCCAACATTGTCGGAAACAGGCGACGAAAGCCCGACCGAGGTACGTCCCTTTTATTACCCCTTGCTTGAAGTGACCGGATTTTGGGAGCTCCTTTCTGATTCGTGCCCGTTCCTGCCTCGCCTCTCGAGTAGCGTCTGGAATTGCTAGTCCATCCTCCGATTGTCTTGACGTTTGAAGAGATGGAGGTTCGGCCAAGCAAGTCTGAAGCGTCCTGCAACGTCAAGTCCAAGCTCTGTATTCTGCTCTGATGTCCGCCCCGCCTTGTATTAATAAAATTTAATTAACCTTATGATGAGATTGATGATCAACCAAGGGGGGTTAGACGCTCAATCAGAAAATCAAGCCACACACACACATACATCCGATGTACTTGTACATACATCCGGATACAGTTGAAGAAGCTCAGGGCACAAAAACTTTATGTCATCAAACCCACAAAATGGAAGGAGCAAACGAAAAACCAATTATCGTGCGTGCGTGTGTGTGGACTGGAGGATGAAACGCCTCTAAACGTCTTATGCTGCCTTTGGAGAGACCCCAAAGCCCGAGAAACGGCAGCGGCTGATGGTTTTTATGTCATGTTAATCAGTGGTGAGTATGGCCTGGTGGTGATCGTCGTGTTTCCCAACCTTAAGCAACCAAGCCAGTGATGATGATCAACAACCCAGCAGAACTCAACCAGCCCAAGATGCTTTTGGAGTGTTGTGTTGTGTTGTGTTGCACACGTTCCACTAAAGAGAGAGAGAGAGAGAGAGAGAGAGAGAGAGAGAGAGAGAGAGAGAGAGAGAGAGAGAGAGAGAGATGAGAAGTGTGTGATTTCTTTTGCCCGCGTGCTCCAAACTAGCCCCTTACTTCATGTATAGGATTTATAACGAGAACCCCATTGAAGTGGGATATTCGTGTGTGGTACGTGAGGGGGGGAGCCCAGATACACGCGCATGTACTCTTTTTGCATTTTTTTTTTCTTCTTTTTTCTTCTTCTGCTGCTGCTGCTTGTTTCTGCGTTTGCTTGGAAGAGACGGATCAACCTGAGCTTGTTTTTCGTGGCGCCACCGTCGCGCTCAACGACAGGCAGACGTTGCCTGGCCAGACTTTGAGTCAGGGGATTGAAGCAGGTGAGAGTTGCGTCGTCGATTCCGCGTGCTTCTCCTCCACACAGCCCCCACCCAGCAGATGAGCCTTTGCTGGTTCTTCTCCCGCGTGCTCGGCATCAGCCCTCAAGTGATCTGTGTGCCTCTCTAGGTACCCGCCATCATGTTGGAATACGCAACCACTGCCATTTGGACTGCCCTGGCCATCATCCTCGTGCGCTGGATCGTCAAGACGGTGATCAGCATTCGCGCCATTGAGAAGCTGCCTGGACCAAAGTTCAAATTTCCTCTCGGGTAAGGTGCTGACCACCCAGCTGCGTAGCAATTCCAACTCATACATCTCTGGCCAAGCCCCTCACTCACACTCGGCATTGCCGTCTGGTGTGTTGCTTGCCGCTGTCCGTCATCGCCGCCCCCCCTTTTGTTAGAACTTTGTATGCCCACCCTACCCCTGTGGAACATGTCAAGCTGATCAAGCGCCTGAGCGCTGAGAACCCCACCAGTGGCTTCCGCTTCTGGCTCGGCCCGGTCCAGGCTGTTTGCGTAAGAGTTGGGATTTGCATCATTTGAAACTGTGCCGTGCCCCAGCTCCTAGCCAGGGGAAAGCAAAAAGAAGACATCGCAGAACTGACGCTTGCTCTTTTTTGCGTGCAGGTTTTGAACCACCCTCAAGCTGTCCGAGCCATCTTGGAGGACGAGCCCCCCAAGGCCCCCATGCTGTATCGTTACATTCAACCCTGGCTTGGAGAGCACAGCCTTTTGACGCTGGAAGGTGAACGCTGGAAAAACATGCGCCGTCTTTTGACACCGGCCTTCCACCTGCACATCCTCCACCATTACGCCCCCGTATGTCCTAGTTGCTGCCGATCCCCTTCTGTTCGACCGCTAGGTAAAATACCTTGCTTACCTCTTCTATGGTGTCGTGCACCAATGCAGGTGATCGTTGATGCGTCATCCATCATCATTGAAAAGTTTCTTAACCACGCCAAGACCAAGCCCGAAGAGGACTATGATGTTTTCAGCGACTACGCCCTCTTGACCCTTGACGTCATCTGCCGCGCCGCCTTTAGCCACGAGGGTGATCCGCAACGCAACCCTGAAGACAAATACGCCGTCAGCATCGGCCAGGTCTGTCTAGCATGCCTCCGAACTCGCCCAGAGCCTCTTCCTGTCTCCCTCTCTCTCCTCTCTCTCCTCTGTGTTTTTTCTTTCCCCGGATTCCCCTTACACTTAATTCTCGACCTGATGAATCATTCGCAGATTGCCGAGAGCATTATTGCACGCGCCATTAACCCCAAGATGATGTTTGACGGCGTCTACTACCGCAGCAAGGAAGGCAAGGAATTCCAGGAGCTGCTGGACTACGTTCACGACCATGCTGACAACGTGCGCCCTCGCTTACCACCCCAAAGACCACCTTTTTTTGGGCAGATTGTACACTCGACACCGGCTCACCCATTGATGCATGTGTGCCCTTGCCACTGTAGCTCATTGACAAGCGCGCAAAGGAGATTGAGGGTCTCACTCTAGATGACATTGGCCGTACTCGCCCCGGAGGACGTACTCTCCTCGACTTTTTGGATATCCTCCTCACTACCCAGGATGAGAACGGACAACGACTCAGCAAGGAGGCCATTCGCCACCAGTGTGATACCTTCCTCTTTGCTGGCCATGACACCACTTCCTCGTGTCTTTCCTGGCTCTCCTACCTGCTCTCCGTCAACCCGGAGGCACAGGAGAAATGCCGCAAGGAGATTTTTGATGCCTTTGGTGATGAAGCCCCAACTTATGAGGATGTTCAGAAGAAGATTCCCTATCTTACCTGCTGCATCAAGGAGGCTCTGCGCATGTACCCACCCATTCCTGGTGTTGCGCGCAAGCTCACCAAGCCGGTGAACGTTGGCTCGACTGTACTCCAGCCTGGCACAACGGGTATGTACTGGCACATGGGCCAACTGCTTTTTTGGATGCATTGATAATGCTTTCCTACTTTCGTTCTTTCATCCCTTGAACAATGACTCTTTGCTGACCTTGATTTGACGTTGCCACCCACCCACAGCTGCCGTCGGCATCCTGGCTCTGCACTACAACCCCACTTTGTGGGAGGAGCCCACCAAGTTTAAGCCTGAGCGTTTTGAAACGGGTGTCAAGCACGATTCGTACAGCTTCCTGCCCTTCTCCATCGGTCGTCGCAACTGCATCGGCCAAAATCTTGCCCTCAATGAGATCCGTCTGGCCATGTGTCAAATCCTCCGCAAGGTGGTCATCCTGCCCTCAGCCGAAAAAGACTATGAGCCCCAGCCCATGTCTCAAATTGTGCTTCGGTCCGAAAACGGCGTTCGCATGCGCTTCAAGGTCAGCACCTTTGTTCTTATCGTGTACCAACCCATTATCCAGCATCTTCAGGCCACTCATATTTATTTTGCTTGTCGTATCTCTCTATCAAACTTCCAACAGGCATACGAAGAGTAAGCCCGCGCCTATATGTTGATCGCGGTGTTTGCCAGGTGATCTTAGGACCACTGAAGCTGGCACACATCCGACCGCCACGCTTGGCTTGTCTCTCCTACATGTTTCGGCAATCAAATCTTTTCTCTTCTTAGCTTAGGCGGCCGTGCCGCGTCGCATAGCCCATGAGAGCATGTGGTCCAGTACGCATCGTGCAGCTAGCTGGAGCCTGTCCTGTGTTTGCTGCTGGCCTTTGGCAAAAATTCCACTTTGACTTTGGAGCCCTCAGGCTTTCGTCGCTTGCATCACGATTTTTACTCTTTCCTTGGCTCGTGGTTACTTCTGGCCAAGCCATCAGCAGCTTGCTTGCTGCAGCAGGCCCAATTCAATCCCACAAATCCATCAAAACACTCTGGTCACGATCCTTTTCGCCCGTGATCCGTCAAAGTTTGAACAATGCCCACCGGCAGACTGTCTGAAGTATGAGCTAAGAAATGACCACAAAGCTCCCCTTCCCGACCGAAAAGCAATAGCATATTCATGTCCAATTGAATCTTGTAAAATCCTAACGACGCCCCCTATTACGGGCGAGCAAAGCAATATTATTCACAGGGCAGTAGAGTCAAACCTTTCGACTCACAATGGGATGTGTGAGTCAATCAAATCTAAGAGAAAAAAATCCACACTTGTGCAAGTGACAAATCCGATATCAAAAACAAAACGTGGAGCGTTCGCTTTACACAATGGAGGATGACGTGGGCAACCCAAGCGCTGTGCGCAATTGATGTTGCCGCGTTGTGCTTGCTAGACCAGCTCGCGCAACTTCAGATGACTTGCTATGCGCTACGCCGGCGGTGGAGTCGTACACAGTAGAAGAACGAGGTGACGACTGTGCGCTCGATGCCACCGAATCCGGCACAAGTGCCCGGGCAGTCGCGTAGGCGAGGCTGTGCTGCTGGACCGGTGCTGACCCAGCATCGGTAAAGATGATGGCAGGAGTTGACGGGGTGGTGGAAGCGTGATCCATTTCCATCACAAAGTCCTCCTCTTCCTCGCTGTCATCTTGATCCTGGTGAGAACGCGAAGCCTCAGCATGCTCAAACGCAAAATGGCCTGGAGACGACGGCCGCTTTGCCGTGCTGGATTGCCGGCGGCCAAAAGGACTTGGCCCACGGCTGGCCATGGCCAGTCGCTCCTCGCGTGCCTCTCGCTGTGCTTTGCGTAGGCTGTCCACCACCCTGGGCGGCAACTCCGTAGCCGGAAGGGACTCGGCCAATGCCAAAGGCAACCGAGCATCAGCAGCCAGCATGCTGGTCAAGATCTCTCGTTCGTGCATACTGGCTTTGCGAGCACAATTGTCACAAAGCTCATTCTTGCTCAGAGGCACACTCGCAGCTGGGGCGCCGTATGCCAAAAGACCATGGTCGTTCGGGTGATCCAGGAGCTGCATCATGGCCATTTCATGAGCAGGCAGCTCCGGCATTAAGGTGGAGAGGAGCTGAGCGGAGGCTTCTGAAATCTGGCGATGCTCCAGGGGATCCTTGGTGTGCGAGGCTTTTCGAGTTTCCATGTCTGCTGATTCCAACCGCTCCTCCGGGTGCACACGTTCCATGCCTTCTAGATAAGGCATCTGTGCACCACAGTGCGTTCAGATCCAAGTGAAAATATTGAAGATGACATGCAGAAACATGGTCAAACACCACAAAGCAAGCATCAGGAAAATGACCTCAAACTCCCCCCATTTGCCCCGAGCCAACAAACCTGAAACTTGATCATGGCTTTTCGAAGAAAGCTGGCAATTGTGCTGAACCGGGGTCGCTCCGGGTTCCAACAACGTTGCAAGAGCATGAAGATGATTGTGGGCATCTCCTCTGGTTGCTTCAGACGGACACCCTTGAGAACCTTTCAAGGGAAAAAAAAAAAAAAAAAAAAAAAACAGAGTGTGTGAATCAGCTTGGCACTGTGTTTGGACTTTTCCCAGGACGTTCGGGAAAAAAAAAAAAAAAGCAGCAGCAGCAGCAGCAGCAGCAGCACGCACCTCTGAAATGACGTTGTCATGGTTGAGCTCTTCATAAGGTAGCGCGGCCCACGAGAAGATTTCCCATACCGTCACGCCGAAAGCCCAGACTACAAGAGACATGCAACAACATGCCTGTGAGCTCTCGAGAATAGATCAGACAAATAAAGCACACTGCCAGCGTATGGTCTCTGCTAGCAAGCGGTGTCTCTCCAATGCCATATTCTTTCTTGGGCACACAAGCCAGCCAAACTCACCGTCGGAAAGTTCTTCAAAAACGCCCGAGGTGAAGACTTCAGGAGGCATCCAGCGCACGGCCGCAATCACCTCACCAGTCTTGCGATAGTACCCCGTGCTTTGTTGTCGGTTACTACGGGAAAAGCTTTTTACCTCGCGCGCCAAGCCAAAGTCGGCGACGACGCCAACCCAATTCTCCGTCAACAGCACTAAGCAGACAAGGAATAGGAAAGCACGCACATGTTGAGCAAGCGGGATTGATCAATCTTTGGACCACATCATGCCTTGCAAACTGGACAGATGTTTCCTCAAACGAGTCTCAAAGTTTGTTTGCTCATGGACAACACCTCATCTTGGCAGGTGCGCACTCACCATTGCGCGTGGCCAGATCGCGATGCACAACTTGTTGTTCTGCCAGGAATTCCATGCCCAGAGCTATATCCATCGCAAAGTACAGTCTTTGTCGCAGATCAAAAAATTCGGGATTGATCAAGTGCGATGTGCGCAGGTTTTCGGAGAGGCTGCCGCTTTGCATGTATGGCACAACGATGCGCAAGGGCATGGCCTATGTCGGTGGAGCAGAATATGTTATGAAGCCAAGAGAAGAGAAGCCAGATCAACAGTCTTGATCAACGGGTAGAGAGGGCGACCAATTCCCATGGCTCACCTGCATCGTCACACCAATCAAGGGCATAACGTTCATGTGACCTCCACTCTCGGTCAGTTGTTTCATAATGAGAGCCTCTTCAATGAAGCTGCGTGCCTGGCTGGATGTGGCGCCAGGACGGAGCTCCTTGACAGCCATGACGTCGTCAAGGTAGGTGGCATGATGCACAATGCCGAATTCACCTTTGCCCAGCTGTCGTCCAAGAATGAGCTCACCGGCATTCAGCTCCCACTTATCGGGGGGTGGAAAAGAGACAATTTGTTCTTCCAGCACGCGTCGTCGATGATACCAGACAGCCACGAACACAAGGACGACCACCACGATGGGCACGAGGATGACCACGGCCATGAGATAGGGGGTCCAGATGCTGTCATGGCCCGTGGCAATAAAAGCAACATGATTTGAGACTTCTGATTCGCCCACTATGTTGGCGACAGAGACGGCAATCTCACGAACACCCAGCTTGTAAAAGTCGCGTTCGTTGAGGATGATCTGATGATCCAAAGGATACGGCCTTTGCTCGCGGACCGAAGTGTCGAGATTTTCTCGGTTGTAGTAGTGCAGGATAAGAATCATATTACCCGGCGCTGTGATGGGCACTGCATCCCAACGTAGCTGAATCAAGGCTGTCACCTCCTCTGTGTAGACTCGAGACAGTTGCACGGCGCTGGGGATGGCAACTGCAGTCTGAAGCTGGACCAGGTCGGTCCAAGCAGAGAGGAGTGCCGGGGTTTCAGGGCTCAGCCCGGTGTAGTTGTAGGCAATCTGGCTGTCCAAAAGTTCACTAAGATCTGCGCGACGATTTCGAGTCTCCAGTAGCTCGCCAAGCTCGGGAGGTACTTGATCCACGATGGAGCGCGATATGGCACCATCCAAGACGAAACGAGCCTACAGTGATGAACCGAAAAAACAGACAATAAATCACATGAGGATGACGAGGGCTGAAAGACGGAGAGGCCTGAATGATGTTTGAAGCCACGCCAGCAAAAGATGAAACAAGGACAAACGAAGAATGATACGAATGAAGCGACATACGCGCAAGGAGTAATTGGAGTATGGAGCTAGATCGGAGACTTCAATCATGAAGCGGGCCTCAACATGGTTTCTGTCAAAACTCAAACCTGTCATGATTGAAGAAAAGGAGAGCCAGGGCGAGTCAGTCATGCACAGCACCGTGGCGTGCGCATGTCGCGATGACGCTTCTCCACGATAAAGAAGCGCGGGTGGGGCCTTTTGCTCGCTTCGCGACACATTCGCACGCCGGGCTCGAGGAGTGGGGCCAACAAGTGCGGACCGTACTTGTGCTGACACCATTCAAGTAGACCAGAGTGGTGGTAACATTCGTATCTTCTCGAAGCACCGCCAGCTCAATGGCATGAATGACACCGGTGTCTGGACTGGGAGGCTGCAAGGCAATGATGGCATTCGTCGCAGACACCTCGATGGACGAGAACTGCCAGGCACGACGACAAAGTGGGAGGTCGCAAAGAAGTAAGGAGGGGCATGAGAGAATGAGAGAGGAGGTTTGGTGTATGCAGGACAGGTGTCTGCGAAAAACATACCGTCAGCCGCTGCTGGTCCGAGCCCAATGCTGCGCGGGTGGTGATATTCTGGTTCACGGACCGATATGTACCCAGGTTGGTGAGCAAGAGGAATATCTGCACCCGATAGTGCGTGAAGGGCACCAGATTTTGAATGGACACTTGGTAGGCATGGCCGCTGCTCGTGTTCAGAGAGTGGATGGACGAGTTGACGACAGCGCCATAGGACATTTGCACGCTGTTGTAAGGGGAGAGGCTGTTTCCAGCCTGGCTAAACCAGACCAGGACCTCTGCAGTCATGGCCACGTCAGTGTGGGCATGAACAATGAGGTTGGCAGAGGTGCTGGTGAGCTCTTGGACATAGATGTCACCGTCAAACTCCAAAGCCTCGGGAATTTGAATGTCGGCTGGACTGGTGACCAAGATTTCGTCGTCGTCAACGGTGAGAAACCATGAGTAGTACTGCTGCGGGGCGAGACAATAGAAGGAAAAAGTCGCCGTGCAGTAGGCGGCGGCGAAGGTAACGGTGTGATTCATCTGTGAGCGGCTGACGGGAGACGAGACATTAGTGGCCAGAAGGAGGGCAATGATCGTGACGTCTTCCAAAGTTCGCGCCAAACCAGAGACCGAGGGGATGGTGGCGGTTGGGGGGAGGCCGTAAAGCGTGTTGACGGTGGGCTGGAGGGTGAGATGGAAGTGTTCATGTTCGAGCAGGTCGTGGCCGTGCGAATCTGATAGGCAGGCAGTCAAGTTGAACGTGACTAGCAGGTGGGTGCCATTGCTTGTGTACTCTGGTGCCGGGATGGTGCATGCTTGGGCGCAGTGACCGAGCAGCGTGCACAGGAGTACTGCAAGGGTGAGCGCTGCCGATATCCTTGCTTGGTGCCCCATGTTTGTTAATGGTCGAGAGGCACCCCCGCACTTTGCCCACCAAGGACGTCAGCGACAGGTCTGGTCGATAGCCTGGGTCCGGCGCGAAAAAGAGCGCACCCCACTTGGTGTACCAAGCGCCGACAACGAACGACAACCCAGACTCGCCGCTGCCGCCGCACGCCAACGGCCAACCGCTGCTGTGACCCAAGCAGAAGGAGAGGGGGGGAAGGGGGGGGCGGGGGTCAATGCTCCCTCAAACGCGCCATCAAACCAAAAAACAAAACAAAAAAACTACATGCAATATTTCAAGTCCAAACGTCCAAAAATGCAGCAGCTGGCAGCAGGGCACGCCGTGGCTGTCAAGTGTGCCGTGACGCCCTGCCAGACCGACTGGTTTGATCCGCACACCCCTTTTGTGCACGCACAGAGAGAGAGAGAGGGAAAAGTGAGAGAGAGACAGAGCGGGCACATGCGCGACACCCTGACGCGTCCGCTCTGGTTCCAGAGAAAAGAATAAGAGAGAAAAGGAAGAAAGGCCCTTCAAGGGTAAATAGGATGTGATGGTTGAGGCAAGGCACATCATCATGGCCCCATGGCCCCATACTTTGACGGGGTGCGCATCAAGCTGGCGTGGTATCGAAATGTCATGAGTGACATATACCTACTTTGAGCGTCATGCTTTTGTGTCCACTCTGGATAAGTGTCAAGGCGGACGAAAATGAAGCAAAGTATCAAGAAGATGTTGAATCCAACGTCTTCACTTCAATAGAAAATGCAGCTCAATGCCTCGTACATGGGTTGAAAGAAACCCCAACGACATCAAGCCAACGCCATGATCACAAACGGGGTTCTGATGAAACGTCTCGGAGCGAAAGTTCAGAGAGAGAGAAAAAAAATTAACAAGATGAGTGCGCACTTGAAGAAGGTGTGCTCGCCCTGAGTGGGAGTGAGTGTCTGTGTCCGAATGCGTCTGCTGGTCTGCTTATCCGTGTGCAGCCATGGTGCCGACCGCGGCCTATCAAAACGCATCTGAATGGAACGCCGGAACAGATGTGTTCGCCACGAGCCCATCACCGCACGTGTGTGAATGCACGGCTCCCAAAAAAGGAGTGCATGTGATTATGGGAGAGAGGAGTGCGCAAGTAGATTGTTCATGGCGGCTGCCAACCCGTTTCGTCTGATCGCCCCAACCTTAATTCCAATGAGTGTTGGACGAAGAGTTTTTCACGTCAACGTGCCTCGCACATGCCTGCCGTCATTTCGTAGGTGTTCACAGCACCCTTGCCAGACTTGGAAGAATTGCCATCAGATCCTTCCATCACATCTGAACACATCTCGCAGTGCACCCATGCCCAGGCACGCGTGATGCAAACAACCTTTGTCCCTGGCAATCGGGCTCAACGGCAGCTGCAAAGCCGTTCACCCCAATAACGCAAAACTTTTGATCCAAATGCCCTTATCGACCTGTCGTCCAACCAGAACGACAACACACACTTGATACTGGGAACAAAAAATTGATGACTGTAAACTTGACTGAATTGGGGCCAGCACAACATCCAGGTGGCCGCACGACGACCAAGGAGAACATAGACATACGCACACGACCCACATACACACACGAACACACGGCAAAGGGCCATTAACAGCAGCTTTCGCCGACGTTGGCACAGTTTGATTAAAACAAATGAAGCAACCGGAAACCAGAAGACGCACGACCGCGCCCCACTACGCAATAGGACAAGACCTTCTTGAGTCCATGACATCAAGGGGAAAAGCACGTGTCCGTATTTCTGTGATCCAAGCACGCTTGTCTTCGCCAACAGAGAAAATCGCATGGCGACAGTTTTACTTCTTGGGAGGCGCGAGTATGCTCTCCAGTTGCGTCTACGCAAAAACGAAAGGTTGCAGTCGGCAAATTAGCAAACGCAAACTCGAGCAACGTGATGTGGGAATGGTGCGCATCACTCCCCCAAACCGAGCATGCCAAGCCCAACTACAAAGTGCCGACGACCTTCCCCACTGTTGCACATGCCTCCCACGGTGGCTTGACCAGCGATACTCGTCACAACGCACCTTGAGCTGTTGATTTGTGCGCTTGAGGAACTGGAGTTCTTCCTCGTGTTGACGTTGCTCTGTGGCACGGCGCTCCTTCTCGCGCTGCTCAATCTCCTCGCACTTGGCCTTGAGCTTCATCACCTCGGCCTGCAAATCGGCGTTTTCTTGCTTCAACTGGTCAATCTCGCCCGCCATATCACCCTTGCCCGCCTCAGCCTGCAGTGCCTTGCGCATACCAAAGGCCACGCTGCTTTCGTACAATGTCTACCATTGCCACCGGGTACAACCACGCCATGGTTATTGCAAACCCGCCCCTAGGTGACTACTCTGTGCAGAACTTCCAAGGATCATGGCTTCCAGCACAAACCTGATACGCAGCAAGCGTCATGCGCAGCTCATCGCGCACACGCAGCAAGAGGAGACCGCGCTCAGCACATTCCACTGTCACCTGACGGATAAGCTCATCTATGTTTCAACAATGGCACCAACTTTAGAAAAGCTGCCCGTGGCACCACAGGCATCGTCCAGGCAATTGGGCCGCCATGATAGCACATGAAGAAGATTCCAACTTACCAAATACTTGGGAATAGAGCTCACGACGCACGGGACAAATGCCAGTCTCGCGCGCTTGGCGTTGCTGCAACTTGCCATCCAGCTGCTCTTGTAAGTTGATAACATCAATACGGGTAGCAGGCCTGTTTCGTGCCAAGTGCCATTCAGGTTACGTATGAGAAATATACACACCTCCCAAAGCCATTGTCGAGAAATAAGGAGGCGAGTAACGAGCAGACTAGAAAACGCTTTGCCCTTTGCAGCAGGTCAGTAAGGAACAGAAAGCTTACCCAGCAGAAACAGACTGCACCCAGAGCTGCCCTTGCTCGGAGAACTCGCGGGGAGGCAAGATAGCGTTCAGGATCTCCTCCGTTTGCTAAAAAAAAAAAAAACACAACATGACAACCAATATCGTCAATCAAAGAAATGAGTTCATTCAGTGCGTGCCCTGTAATAAAACTCCCACTGCCACCCAAAAGAGACAAATGGCAAGCTTTTGAAGACACTTGAAACGAGCAACCCCCAGTCGAAAAAAAAAGCATGTTTCGATCAAATAAACGGGCAAACACGAGGAAAAAAAGAAAAAGAAGCCAAAGATAAAAGCAAAAGCACACAGCATTGGCGCTAGGCATGTGGCTGCAGGCGCTGCAATTGTCACCGCTCGAGTACATCCGCACCATGACCAAACTCTTCCCGGCATGTTCCCAAGAGAAGAGGCTTGAAAGCAAAAGAGTGACAAAACACAATATCTCGAGGTGCTTACGTACCGGAGACGCCTTCTTTTCAACAGGTGGCAATTTCTGGGCCCGTGGGGGCTGAGGAACAGGAGCGCCAGGTGTCAAAGTTGCCGCCTTGGAAGGAGACGAGACATTGCGGCGCGACCCCTTCACCTGTGGCCCCATGCATTCATGAGAATACCCGTCAAGGTTTCGCATCGGTTTTCCATGGCGACTTTCTTGGACGGGCAACAAGCTCAACAAGTAGCGGAGAGCCAAGCAGCTGGAGAAGAACGACACGCAGATTGCTCTCGTACCCGTGAGGCCTTCTTGTCAGTCGACTTGCTGATCAGCACCGGGTTGTCGTACTTGACCAGGGTTTGCTGGGGCGGAATCATGGCGCCGGCAGCGTAGAGTGCAGATGCGTCGTGCAAAGGAACACCTCAATAGCAGCAAAGCAGGCCAGACTCGGCAAAAAAAGGACGGAAGACGCAACGGAATGAATGTCAAGCTGAAGCCTTGAAGCGCGGTCCAGAGCTGGATGCCAGCGAGCTTGAGAAGAGGGATTGATCGGCAAGGCGAAAATGATGCAGCGAACGGACGGGAACGACGTTGCCAAGAAGAATGGAAGCTTCAACCATTTAAACTCTATTATTCGCTCTCAAAACTATACAAAAAAGACCTTTTCAACAAGATGGTAAAAAAAATGATCGTCAGCCAAATGTCAGACGTTTTCTGGCTCTTGGCTCTTGGGTGGCCCTTAAGCGACTGCGGGCTCCAAGGCCAGGACGTCCATAATCTTGAGGGGCAGACCAGGTCAATGAGAGCATCGCGACGCAAGCGAGGCGGGGAAATACAACCGACCAAAGTACGCCCAAAAGCACGCCTCAACAAGCATGCTCATGCCAGCCAGCCGCAAATTGCGAAGCCATGAAAAAAAAAAAATAGAGAAACAGACAGACAGACAGGCAGACAGACAGGCAGACAGACAGACAGACAGACAGACAGACAGACGCAAGCTTACCTGACTGCCGCATTCATGACAGACCATGACAGGCTGAGGATAGGTGGCATCGCAAACAAAGCAGGTGTATCCTAACATCAGTTCAAAGCTGGGCACGACGGGCTCTGCGCGAAGCAGATCAAGGTCGTCCCCCTGCATGTTCCCGGGGTGGAGGTAGCACGAGAGTGAGAATAGAAGGAGAACCCTCATGACAGATGCGAAAGGCAGCCCCCAAGTCATCAAGGCTCACTGACGCGCGTATTGGCCCGCTGGCGTCCACTTCGCAAGAAGCGTCGTCGTGATACCGTGCCGGTGCTCTCGCTACCCGAAGAGCGCATGGACCGCGTGGATTGACGAGTGAAAAAGCCCTTGCGCCTGCGCAAACACAGATGATTCGTTTCCGAAGTAGACCAATTCCATAAATGGAGAAGATGCGTGAGTGAGATTCGGGCAGCCGTGGCTTGGATCCAGCGGTGAAAGTATCTTGATTTGGCGTGTCTCAGAACACACCGTTGCACAGGCGATTTATCTGGCCCGCCGCTCTTAGCACTGCCCGCAGAATTGACGGAGTGTGTCGAGGTGGCGGAAGAGAGTCGAGGGCCCGAGCCTGACGCCAGGGGGAGACCCGTGTCGTCACAAATCTCCGTCGCTGCAAGTGGCTCTACCGCCTGGCGAGGTCCAAGGGATTCGCCTGCTAGTTGCCACATGTCCATCACACGAATGAAGTGACGCCCGCGCAATGCACAGCAAAAACCACCAGCTGAATAGGCAAATTTTGCAGATCGCACCGATGCTACTGGCGGGCGAGGCCGGGGCTGCAGGTATGCTGGGCGTCGGTGATGGGCTGACTCTCGGCGAGGTTGAGAAGGGATTCGATGGTGGTAGATCAATCAGCGCAGCGGAGTTGGTGCGAGTTGGTTGAGCGCGTTGCACGCGCTGCCCATGCGCCCCCGTAGATCGACGTGGGTTGGCGGACATGGACTGCCCTCTGACTGAGGGGGGGCGCCGTTTCGCCATTATGGACGCCACCCGGTACGTCTGATCGCAGATAGACGTCGCTTGTGCCTGGAAAGGTGTGCCAACACGGCATGAGCAGTGATGCGACTCGAACCGAAAAGTTTATCCCCCGTTCCCATGTCGGTGGGAGTCATGTCACTCAGGAAGCACCCTATTGCTTCTCCTTCCTCTTTTGAGCGCTTGTTAAAGTTGCCGGTACCTTG